ATAAACAGTTTAGACACATGCACACTAAAGTTAGCTTTTTCAGGGCTCCAGACTAACAGTTAAGAGCAAGAGCAGTAGCACTGCACTGGTGGTGCCAGCACCTGATTTAATCATAAAGGTAATTTAATCATAAAAGTACTTTTGTTTTGCATTAATAAGTGGAGTTACTAATAATGTTACTTTATTTCTTGGAAATGCACATTTGACAACAAAGCACAGAGCTTAAGTTGAGATGCAGATAAAATTAACTTTTATTAACAACAGTAACGTTGAAAAAAATTAAAATTAAATTAAAATGAAAAATAAATATTCTACTCTTATTAAATGTCCCATCGTTAGACACCAAAAAACTTTGTTATTCAACATAATACAATGTCACAGATCACTTTTCCCAGAGACAAAATTAGGTAAATTAACCTTAAAACTGAAAATAAATCAATTTGAAGCAAAAAAAACACATTTGTGAAGCAAATAAATTTCAGCCAGCTGTTCGACCTCCTGTCTGAGACTCGTCATCATCCTGGATGAGGCCAGTGACTGTCGTCCGCAAACTTCAGGAGCTCGAAAGATGGTGTTCTGCAGTGCAGTCGTTGGTGTTGAAGGATGTGAGTTCTCCCAGTCTCACTGTATACAGTGCAATGAGTGCATATAAAAAACAATTTACCCCTTTTTTATTTTTATTTAGTGTAACTCAACAGTTGCTGGTTCCCATTGACTTGTCAAAAATGGGGACCATGTTTGGGTGAACTATCTCTAACTATATATTTCAATGCATATTTTGCACATTAATTTTTTTGTTAAATAAACAAAATCAAGTTGGCAGGTTAAGGTGGTGAAAATTAACTATGGTTTTTGGCGGATTGATTAACATTTGTGTAATCACAGTTTTACTACAAATAGGCCTACTATGCTTAATGAAGCAAAAACCATGGTTATTGGTTAAACTATATAAAAATGTTTTTTTTTCTTTATTTGTCAAAACCATGGACAGTTTTCATAAGGGACGACGCCGGATAGCAAATCTATTAACAATGTCTGATTAAACCCACTTTCTATCTATCACTCAATAAAATAATCATCACATTGTACAGTGTTTTTGAAAGTTTTGTACAACCCCAAATCAAGAAAAGTTAGGACATTTTGTTAAATGTAAAAAATCTATTTGTTTATTCTGTTTAACGTTTATTTAACTGACAAAAGTACAAAGAAAAAATGTCCAATATTTTCACTGACCAACTTGTATTTTGTAAATTATTTTGTAATGAACAAATTTTGATTTTGGCGCATGCGACACACAAAAGTTGGGACGGAGGTTAAATTAAATTGAAAAGTTCACAGAATATCCAAAGTCCAAGTCTTTCAACAGGTAGATGAATTGGTAAAATGTGAGGGGATCGTGATAGCTTGCAAAGACTGAGATGCTCCTTTTACACTCAAAGATGTGTCATGGCTCATCACTTTGTGCCAAATATCATGACAGAATTGTCCAACAATTCAAAAATCACATTTCTCAATGCAAGATTGCAAAGAATTTAGGAATTTAGGTCTACCATACATAATATTGTGAAAAGGTTCAGGGAATCCAGAGAAATCTCAGTCTGTGTTGGGGAAGGCAGGAGACTTCTGTTGAATGTGCGTGACCTTTGACCCCTGAGTCCATGTTTCAGCTTGTTTTTGGGAAAAACAGACTCGGTCCCAAAGACGGAAGGGACCATCCAGACTTTCATCAAGAGCAAACATCTGCCATGGTATGGGTGACAACTTGTTGCATGTGTGTGAAGGTACTATTGACGTGGAGGCGTATGTTGGAATTGTACATGTTTCCTGGGAAGCAAGACAATGCCAGGCCTCATTCTGCACAAGCTACAACAGCGGTTTCGTAGGAACTCTACACCGCACAGTGGATGTGCTCGAGTCCAGATCTGTCTCTTATTGCACATGTATGACCCATCACGAAAAGAACGACCACAGACTGTCGAGCAGACGTCTCGTGTCAGGCGAGATTGGGCTAAAACTCCACATGTAACACTTCAACAGTTAGTATCCTCAATCCCCAAACATTTAAAAAAGGTAATGAAAAGGAAAGGTGATGTGACAGTGGTAAACATGCCTCTGGCCCAACCTTTTGGGAGCCATCAAAATAAAAATTTGGACATTTTTTTTTTCATCTTTGTACTTCTGTCAGTTAAATAAAGTTGGAAGAGAATGAACAAATAGCTGATTCTTGATTTTTATTATATTTGTCAAAATATCCCAACTTTTTGATTTGGGGTTGTATTTTGTTGGGTTTAACATTACCTTCGCGAGTATGACTCTCACAGTTCATCGGCTTTTGTATTAGCAGAACTTGCACGCAGACACGACAAAACTGATCACAAGCTTCTAGGGGTTTCATTTTGGTTGTCGTGTGTTGAAATAAATAAATATTAAGAAAAACAGCGTGTGTGAATGTGACCCACAATCTCTGATTCCCATCCGTGGCCAATTGGGAAAGTAAACATTTACAATGACGACAATAAAACTCCAGTCACATTTAAACGTTTCCAACAAAGAAATGGATCAGCTGGTTGAGCACATACTGTATTTTTATTGGGACATTTCTACCGTGTGTCGGCTAGAGCAGCAGCGACTGCTTTCATGGTAACCAGTGACTGCAATTCTGCAAAACTAGTTCAAACAAATGATCATGTGATGCAATAAAATAGCTTCTCTTCCCAGCAAACGATGCCATGGAGAATGACTGAATGTTTCATTTAATGGCAAAAAAACTAAACAAAAGGTGCAGGTCTCAGTAATAATTACAGTAGCAGAGGGCGATCCTCTTAAGAGATCCCAGCATGCAACGCAGCGTGACGTAGCTTCACATTCACTATACAGTTGGCATGGTGAAGAGCAGGTTATCCAAGATCTGCATTAGAGAGCAAAAATAATTCCAGAATACTTTACAGCTGCATATATATATATTTATATATATATATATATATATATATATATATATATATATATACTCACCGGCCACTTTATTAGGTACACCTGTCCAACTGCTCGTTAACACTTAATTTCTAAGCAGCCAATCACATGGCGGCAACTCAGTGCATTTAGGCATGTAGACATGGTCAAGACAATCTCCTGCAGTTCAAACCGAGCATCAGTATGGGGAAGAAAGTTGATTTGAGTGACTTTGAACGTGGCATGATTGTTGGTGCCAGAAGGGCTGGTCTGAGTATTTCAGAAACTGCTAATCTACTGGGATTTTCACGCACAACCATCTCTAGGGTTTACAGAGAATGGTCCGAAAAAGAAAAAACATCCAGTGAGCGGCAGTTCTGTGGGCGGAAATGCCTTGTTGATGCCAGAGGTCAGAGGAGAATGGCCAGACTGGTTCGAGCTGATAGAAGGGCAACAGTGACTGAAATAACCACTCGTTACAACCGAGGTATGCAGCAAAGCATTTGTGAAGCCACAACACGCACAACCTTGAGGCGGATGGGCTACAACAGCAGAAGACTCCACCGGGTACCACTCATCTCCACTACAAATAGGAAAAAGAGGCTACAATTTGCAAGAGCTCACCAAAATTGAACAGTTGAAGACTGGAAAAATGTTGCCTGGTCTGATGAGTCTCGATTTCTGTTGAGACATTCAGATGTTAGAGTCAGAATTTGGCGTAAACAGAATGAGAACATGGAACCATCATGCCTTGTTACCACTGTGCAGGCTGGTGGTGGTGGTGTAATGGTGTGGGGGATGTTTTCCTGGCACACTTTAGGCCCCTTAGTGCCAATTGGGCATCGTTTAAATGCCACGGCCTACCTGAGCATTGTTTCTGACCATGTCCATCCCTTTATGGCCACCATGTACCCATCCTCTGATGGCTACTTCCACCATGTCACAAAGCTCTAATCATTGCAAATTGGTTTCTTGAACATGACAATGAGTTCACTGTACTAAAATGGCCTCCACAGTCACCAGATCTCAACCCAATAGAGCATCTTTGGGATGTGGTGGAACGGGAGATTCGCATCATGGATGTGCAGCCGACAAATCTGCGGCAACTGTGTGATGCCATCATGTCAATATGGACCAAACTCCCTGAGGAATGCTTCCAGCACCTTGTTGAATCTATGCCACGAAGAATTGAGGCAGTTCTGAAGGCAAAAGGGGGTCCAACCCGTTACTAGCATGGGGTACCTAATAAAGTGGCCGGTGAGTGTATATATATCAGCGCAGCTCTGTGAGGTAGACGTCATCAGACAGATTTTTGGATGTCTCCTTTTTTGAAACAGATTTCAAGTCTTGAAATACCACTTTTTCTATGCATCTACAGTACTGTGCAAAAGTAGTGTGACAGTATAAAATATCAGTTTACATTTCCAAACACCCCTTTTGCCATTGCTTGTAATAATACAGTGAGATTTTCGTATGCGCAAGGAGTCTGACAACAGCCGGTATGAACAGTCTTGGAGACGTTGACACAGTTCTTCTGGATTTAGTCGGTCTCGGCTTTTTCTGTATCCTCAAGGAATCCCAGATGATGGTGAGATCAGATCTCCATGTGGAGCACCGGCTGTTGTGTATACAAAAATCTCACTGGATTATTACAATTAATGGCAAAATTAATGTTTGGAAATGTAAACTGATCTGACACACTACAGCAAAAAAACATTTTTTTTTGGGTGAAAATACTAACATGCCTAAGACTTTTGCACAGTACTGTGTATAATTTTTCTAATTACATATTAACAATATATTTTTTTCCAAATCAAACAGAAATTATAGAGTTCAATGAAAACAACTTTAATTCCTATGAAACGGGCGAGACAGAGCAAAGCCTGTATTAAAGGTTTCAGTGAAATCAAAGGTCATCATCAGTGTAACACACAGCAGCACGAGTGCACACGCACACACTCTCATAACAGGTTTACAGTTGCACTTTTACGTCTGCATATTGCACTAAGGCATCAAAACATCCCATAATAGCATATGGAGTAGCAACCTGCTCTAGTATAAATTGTAATTTATTTGATAGACACAAATCTTAATTCTTATTCTCTCATATACCATAACAGCACAGTAAATGAATGTACAATTCTCTGGAATGTTGGCGCTAAACTCTCTGCATCGCTCGTAATAATCTCACTATATCACAGTCTTCCCTCCCATTCACACGTCCGCATAATCAGTGTAAAAATATCATGCTCAGTGCATCTACACATCTCTAGTCACACAGCCAACAAGAAAAGCAGCACTAGAGACAGCAGGTTATCAGCAGTAAAAACAAACTGTCTGTGCTTTCAAATATAGACATTATTATTATACTGTCTGAGCTGTCAGTAGACAGTAGCTGTCACGGCCTCCCCTTTTTGGTCCGCTGAGTCTTTTGTGCAGATATTCGGACTAAATAGGCCTTTGAAATCTTGAGTTTCAATATGCAGGCATATGCAGTTTTAAGCCCATTTAAATCTGTGAATTTCTCTCAAATTAACAGACACCAAAACAAGCAATTTTCATGGACTGTACCATTAAACAACAAGTTTGGCTACAATGCTGCGCTTACATTTAACATTTAGACAAGGAATATATTTGATGGCTAGCACCATTTAACAAACATGAGATCTGCTCAACCTAGACGAGAGGAGGGATGTTGGGGTGTTTGTTCAAAGTGATCCCCAATCAAACATCTGTGTGTGAAGCCTCTTCAATTTTACAGCAATCCCTGCCAGACTGTCCATAAAGTAGTACTGTGGCAACAGTGCTTTACCTTTACAACGTTTAAAACTCATAAAATATTTATACCCATCACATGATTCCAGTGTTTTTAAGACCATTTCTCATAATAAAGTAGTCTGGCACATACAGTTTAAAAAAAAAGTCAAAAGCAATTACAAACAAAACGTCTCTTGTGCAGTGAGGCACATGTTTACCTTTTGGTCTGATAAGATGCACTTCCTCTGAGCTTGTGCTCTGATTGGTCCGTTTTCAAAAGTCCCGATACGTTAACACGGTTGTACAAAAACAACAACAAGAAAACGTATTTCTGGATGGCCAAAACCTGCCTTGATGTTTGAAGGTTTAGGAACTCCGCTTTCCCTCCAGAAGGACAGACTGGAGTTATTCATTGTTTTTTGATTTTTCAGTGTAGGAAGAAAATGCAGAAGTTCGTTCTTTTGTCACCTTCTATAAGGCAATTGGATCCAATGTCAAGTCAGGGTTTTGCACGGCTCTACTATGGTCAGAGGCAGTCGATTTTCAACACAACAAACAGGGGTAGAAGCCGAGCTTTTCCTTTATTCCTGCAGACTCGAGACCTCTGAAGATCATTTAGATCCATGAGATTTGGCCATCGGTTTTCTAAGGTCATAAATCAGCTAATTTTGCTGCACTTTGCTGAACCCTGACTTCAGTTTGGAGAGATGTTTGTGTGGCCAGATGTTAGTGTTTATGAAGGGTGAGCCACAATGTGGGCCATCCAGTTGACTTTGGTGGTCCAACTCTCTCGCAGAGCTTCATCAAACTTCTGCCGGAACTGTTTGAGGGCCTCCTCGTCAGTTTTACCTAATGCCAGAGAGTCCTGGAAAACAAACACACAGCTGCTGTCACTCCATCATATATTTATTTGTCTATTTTGAATGGCATCTCATTTAACACAGTTAATGCATTGACCAAATTCGATGTTAATGATTTCATTGTTTTGTGTGATGTTCTTTTCTTTATTTTTGACTTGTTGGGGTGTTTGTTCAAAGTGATCCCCAATCAAACATCTGTGTGTGAAGCCTCTTCAATTTTACAGCAATTCCTGCCAGACTGTCCATAAAGTAGTACTGTGGCATATAGGAACAGTGCTTTACAACGTTTAAAACTCATAAAATATTTATACCCATCACATGATTCCAGTGTTTTTAAGACCATTTCTCATAATAAAGTAGTCCAAAGAAAAAAGTAGTCACCAACTCAAAAAAAACAAACAAAAAACACAACAGACATTTAAACAAAGATACAGATCACCATAGTAGCATGTTAAATATAACTGACAGGGGATTTACAAAGATTTATGGACATTGGGCTTACATGTTTTAGCTTCTTCTCTTCCTCCTCCACCCCCTTTTCTTTTACTCCCCTACCTCTATCTACTCTCTATCTCTTCTCCCTCCCTCCCAAACTCCCGGAGACAGGAAGGAAAAGAGAAGATAATAAACATTTACAACAAAAACAACAACAAAAATTATACTAAGTTGAGACAAAGACGAAGGAGGAAAAAAAGAGAAAACAAATCTAATAAATAATACTACTGAGTAATTGTATTTATGATTAATGGAATGTACATACTGGGGTGTGCAAGGTTTTTCACACATAAATGCATATGTGAGGCAAGAAATAGATTCTAGCTTCGGTTAATGTTTAAGGATCAGAGAAGTGAATGTGTGAGTATGTCTTTGTAACTGAAATCTAAATGCAGCTGCATATCTCTCCTAATGTGAAGCCATCGTATGACTTATCGTATCGTCTTTTTTTTTTTCAATCGAGTAATATTGTTTTCTTGCCGATTGCCAGAGTTAGAATGAGGGGAACTGTGAGTTCTGAAGAGAGATTAATTTGAGTATGAATTTTGTATGAAGCAGAGATTTTGTAATTTAAGAAATCTGATAACCTTCGTAACATCGTTCTAAAATTGATTAACGGTATGTTAAGGTTTCAATGAGTGCATTTGTCTTCAGTGCAAGTTGCTAGTCCCATTTTAAACATCTTGTGTTGTGTAAATGTGTTCTCTATGTAACAGTTATTACTGGATCAGTTGTATGTTTGCATTTGTAGTTATGTTGAATGTTTTTTTGCAAACTAGTTTCCAGAATTCCTGATGATAAGATCCTTCCTTCATTGTTTCACTGATACTGAAGTAGTATGGATAAAATTAGTGTACAATTTTGTCTGAAATGACACATTTGTGACATAGTTTCGTTAATTAAACCATCAAATTCACACTTTATTGTCTCTGTGTTTGCTGCTCACAAATCAAAGTCACTTAAATGTCTCACTATATGCTATTACACTGCTATTCATTTATACAGTAGGAAAAGGATATTTTTTCTTGGCCAGGAAGATAATTTATTTCCTAGAATTGATAACTGATTATGATGCCTGTTCGTTAAATACTGATTAAATAATTATACTATTAATTCTGCTACAGTCAATTCTAAAACTAATCCAAATATTTATAATTCATTATAATTCGTTATAATTCATTATACATATTTCCCCTTTGAGCTAATTTTCTACAACTAATATGATTTCTTTAACTAATTCCTATTTCTTTCTTACCAGTGAGAATGTAATGAATTTATTATTAGTGGAGTATTGTGTATATATTTGAGAATAGTAATTGGTGATAAAAAGTGAGATGATGTGTGGTTTGAGATCATGACTTGTTGATTAATTTGTCAGTTTGTAGTTAAAGTAGTTCTAATCTTTTGTAATATTATACATGTATTTACCGTCACTTTTCATCAATTTAATGCATCCTTGCTGAATGCATCCTCACAACCATGTTCCTTTTTATTAAGAAATGGTATCTGTGAGGATTTCCAGTCAGGATTTAGACCGTACCATAGTACTGAGACAGCTCTCATTGGAGTCACAAATGATTTGCTCTTATCATCCGATCATGGTTAGTCTCTATTAGTGTTACTCGATCTTAGTGCTGCATTTGATACCATCAACTACAACATTCGGTAATGCTTTGGATTACAGCCCGGAAAGTACTGCGTAATTAAAGCGATTTTACAGCGTAACCTTCGGTAATTATAGTGTACCTATAACGTACTTACAATATAAGTATAAGGGAACAATATTTTAAGCTTGGGGAATAAAGGGGTAACAACCAGGAGAATTAAACAATTATTGATACTTCTTAAAGTATTAAAGAACTAAAGGGTGCTTATTCTACTATTATGATATAACAATCTTACATGTGGGAGCAATTTAGCAAGAACATACACTGCGTACCTTTTTGAAATAATGGTGAACCAGTACATCCTGTAAAATTACATGCTTTTTAAAAATTACAGGGTACATATCTATGCATTTATAAAGTAATCTTTTTAACAAAAGTGCACTGAAAACGAAAACTATTGCAACTTTTGCTTAAATATTGGGGAAAGATACTCTTGTTTCATGTAGTGGTGCTTGTTACCCCCTTGTTCCATGTAGTTACAGGGTAAGTGTGACATTGCGGGCCGTAAATTAAAGTGGTGCTTGTTACCCTCTTGTTCAATGTAGTTACAGGGTAAGTACAATAAAAATGCATACACAGTTTTATATCACTGACTCGGAAACCTTTATTTATTATACAAGCACCACTTACCCTGTAACCACATCAAACAAGCTATATTTCCCAGTATTTAAAAAAATTGCAATAGTCTGAGCTTTTCTTGCCTTGAAACATGTTAGCCCAAACATCTGCACTTTTGCTATCAAAAAATAAATAAATAATTGTATAAATGCCTATATATGTACCCTGTCATTTAAAAAAAAAAGCCTATACAGTATGTATTGGTACACAATTATTACAAAAAGGTACGCAGTGTATGTTCTCGCTAAATTGCTCCCAAATGTAAGATTGTTGTATCATAATAGTAGAATAAGTACCCCTTAGTTCTATAATACTTACAGTATAAATATTTTTTTAATTCTCCTGGTTGTTACCCCTTTATTCCCCAAACTTTACATATTGTTCCCTTATACTTACATGCAAGTACTTTATAGGTACACTATAATTACAGAAAGTTACACTGTAAATTCCTCTTAATTACACAGTACATTCCGGGCTGTAATCTAAAGCGTTACCCAACATTCTTTTGAATAGACTCGTAAATTATGTTGGCATTAGTGGAGTTGCATTAGCATGGTTCAAATCATACTTATCTGACCGTTATCAGTTTGTAGCAGTAAATGAAGAAATGTCTTATCGATCACAAGTTCAGTATGGAGTACCACAAGGCTCAGTACTAGGACCGTTGATGTTCACTCTGTACATGTGAAAAACAGAACCTTTAATTACTGGACCCCAAAACGCACGTATTAACCTAGAATACTGTCTAACACTTGATGGATGTTCTGTCAAGTCTTCGTCGTCAGTTAGAAACCTGGGTGTGCTCTTTGATACCCATCTTTCATTTGAAAGTCACATTTCTAGCATCTGTGAAACCACATTTTTCCATCTTAAAAATATATCTGAATTGCGACATATGCTTTCAATGAAAAATGCTAGTTCATGATATCAAGGTTTTGATTATTGTAATGCTCTACTGGGTGGTTGCCCTGCATGCTTAATAAACAAACTACAGCTGGTCCAAATTGCAGCAGCTCGAGTTCTAACCTGAACCAGGAAGAATGACCATATTAGCCCGTTTCTGTCAACACTGCATTGGCTCCCTATTAAACATCGTATACATTTTAAAATATTGCTGACTACTTACAAAGTACTAAATAGTTTAGCTCCCCAGTACTTGAGCGAGCTCTTAACGCATTATAGTCCTTCACGTCTATTGTGATCTCAAAATTCTGGCCAGTTGATAATATATATATATAAATAAATAAATAAATATCAACGGTAGATCCTTTTCCTATTTAGCACCCACCCTCTGGAATAGTCTTCCTAGAATTGTTCGGTCAGTTTAAATCTAGACTAAAATTACATCTCTTTAACCTGGCATACACATTATACATCATTTTTTGTATTATTCATAATAGTTAAATGATTGTTAGGCTGCATAAATTATGTCAATCAGAACCGGGAACACTTCCTATAACACCAGATGTGCTTGTTACATCGTAAGAAGAATGGAATCTACGCTAATGTTAGTCTGTCCATCTCATCCTTATCCCTAGGTTTCCGTAGTCAGCCGGATCCGGGCCGTATCCAGATCAGATGGAGGACCTGCGCCTAGACACGACCACAACGTAGCCATGAATGTCAGCAGAAACCGTGTCTACTAAACAATCCCCTGCGAAGGCCTTGTCGACACAACAGCCATCAGAACTGATCCTCAGCAGAGACCACAAGAACCAAGTCCTCTGCACAGACCATATAGCCTGCTTTGCCTCCATACCGGCATGATGAATTCGATCTTTAAGCAAAAGGAACTGGATGAATATTTGAATGCTACCGATCCCAATCTGAATTCTGACTTGTGATGCTGCCTGAATCATAATCATACCATATTAATTCGTTGGCCAGAGGAGAACTGCCCCCAAAGACTGAGCCTGGGTTCTCCCAAGTTTTTTTCGCCATTGTGTCACCCTGACAGGTTACCTTGCCACTGTCACCTCTGGCTTGCTTAGTTGGGGGCACTTAAGGCCCCGATATACATCAAGTGAAATCGCAGAACGAACTGAAGAGTTCGAAACAACTTGCCATGGCGAACTTTCCAGAAAAGTTCCCTTCGGCTGGTAAAGACCTTTGTACTACCATTTTTCCGTGGCGATAACCTAATGGGTAGGTTATTGATCTGACTGTACTGACACTGTTGTATGAGAACTGAACTGAGCTGGACGATGACAACATTTATTTTTGCAAAACTGCTTTAATATTTTTATTTAATCTAAATAATTAAATATTTTATTATCTTTACAACGGAACTGAATCAACACTGAAATGACTTCAGCTGAACAACAGTCGAAATGCATCATTTTCCTGTTATCACTGTAAAGCTGCTTTGAAACAATCTGTATGGTATAAAACACTATATAAATAAATGTGACTTAACTTGGGACACCGCGATACAACACGCTACAATGGGCGCTTCAATACATCACCATGCACCCGTTCAGAAAGACAAATGCACCAGTTTATAATGTTTACTTTGATGTGTCCAGTGTAGACGGCCTTTAACAGTTGTGTCGCGCGTCATGTCAGCTGGTGCAGATACGTTGGAATAGGCATATTATACGTGAGATGCTTACGTTTGCTCAAGACAGTGTTCGGCCTAATCAATTGCTTATTTATGACACATAGCAACACAGCTAAAAGTATTCCTGATATGTTAAACCTTATTTTGAAAGTAGCCTACTTATACCTGTTGAGATATGCCTTCACAAGCACCGTAAAAGCTGTGTTTGTGATGTTTGAGTTGCGGAAACTACACCTTTAAATAGATAGAAAAGTATATTCTTTAGTGACATGGTCAAGTTTTCACACAGAAGATTATAACAAGAAATTAGTGTAATGTCTGTAAAGTTGATCAACAAAGTTTATCTACAGTGAGGGCTATTCTTTTTTTTAGCATATTGTTTTTTTTCGGTCAAGTTTATTAAATTGTTTAGATACTCCTGGTTCGTGTGTTTGCTCTCCACATGGGTTGTTTTAGTTGTGTTGTTTTTTGGTACACTAATATAGGTTATTGGAAGGAGATATTAACAGATTATCCAAGCTGCTCTTTTCCAAACAATGAAAGTAGAAGGATACCAGTGGTTTTCTAGGTCCATAAAGGAAATAGCAATACCATAAAAACACCATATAAATCTGGGTTTTAAGTCTCATGCCATTGTTTCCAAAAGCGAACGACAAACGGTCCCAAACGCTCCTAATATACACTCAAGCTGTGCTGTAGTATAACGAAAAATCATGATCATAACAGTGGCTTATATTTTCTAAATCAGTATTCAATATGTCATGACCTATGAACCAGATATATAAGACTATATATTCCAATTCTTCTGAGGCCATACGATAGCTTTGTGAGAGAAACTGACAAAATTGAAGTAATTATTTACAGAAAATCTTTCCTTTTGCCATAGCTCTCAAATAGTTTATTTGATCAAACCTGGCGCATTCACAATATGCATAACAACCAATTAAGTTTCTTCTTTAAGTATATAAATAATGCACAAGGAAAGCTAGGGTGGAAGCCAAGATTTTCAGTGAACTTGTTAAATATCTTTTCCTCAAACAAATCTATATGTACAGTATGCTTTGGAATTTAGCATGAATTTGTGTGGATTAATTGTGTTGCTTGTCAGTGTTGTTGGAGCTTGACAGCCCCATTCGCTTACCATTTCATATGAGTTTTAAGAGTTTGAGAATAAATAAATGACCATTTTCATTTTGGGAAGTACTATACTTTGAAGGAGAAGGAATTCTGCGCCGTCCGTGTCCGCTTACCTTTAAATACTGGATATCTTTGACAGACGTAAGCTCTGGCAGTCCTGCTGTGAGCATCAGAGCAAAGAGTGTGATGAACAGATTTCCATTCTTCCTTAGAATCAGATACGCGTCCTCACAGTATTGCCTAAAACTACATATATACAAAGCACTATGTTAGATTAGTGTCCTATATCATAAGAAATGGAATTGTGCATTAATTAGACAAAGTCAGTCACTAACTTTCCAAATTTCTCAGTGTTGCCCGTTTTTCCCTGTTGAATCACATGGATGAAGTCGTGTGTGAGGATGAAAGGAACACGCTCACGCTTGATCCCAAACTTGGACTTAAAGTTTCCTAGGATGTGGCCAAAGTCTATGTGGAAGAGCTGAATCACACACACACACGGTTTGTAAATATCTTGTCAATCTAAAAACAACCAAACTTTACTATTTTAATCAACAGAAGGGACTATAGAATGGCATTTTAATGCAGCATACATTCTGCGGGAACACGATACATTCACATGGTTTCATGTGTAGGACGGTTTCCCAACATACCTGCCCTGTACTGCGAACCATGATGTTGTCGCTGTGCCGATCACCGATTCCCAAGACGTAGGTGGCAACACAATAACCAGCACACGATAGAGTGAACTCCTCAATGGCTTTCTCCAAAGCATCTCTGTGTCAACATATCACATCACCAATCAGTTTTGACACAGACAGCAACTTTATTCAATGAGAACACGAGGACTGCCACCTAGAATTTCAAAAACGTCAAGAACTGCTAGGAGGCTAGATCTAGAAGTTTATTTTGCGACAGTTTTAACATTAAAAATAAATAAATAAGTAAACATCTCTAACAATAAGAGATGTGTGGGCTGCTATTCGAATGGTTTGGAGGTCAGTATTGTGCAAAAAGTACTGTTTTCCATTACAATTTCCATGCATATTTAAAATTTAATGATAGCAAATGATACTTACACAAAATCGTCAAAAATAAGGAGTTTCACACAATATTTACTAAAAACATTTTTGTTACTAGAGGCGAAATAAAAACGATCACGCCTCGTGGTATTAGTTTTGGCTTGAGACAGAGCGGAGTCAGATGCTGATGTCTAATGAACACTGTAAAAATATTTCATATAGTTAGTTCATGAAAGCTAATGCATTAACTAATGTTGACAAATGGTAGCTTATTGTGAAGTGTTACTTATTAAATTTACATGAGACGTTTCTAGGTTAGGCCTATAGCTACACACGCACACACACACACACACAGTAATGTTTTAATTAAACTATTTTATCTATACATTTCATTTAAAAGTTCAATACATTTTCATGCATCAGTCTGTTTATTTTTGTAATAAAGTTCAGCTCTATTTTACTTTGAGTGTTACTTAAGTTTTATTTCAACTATCGGTTTTTATTTTATCGAAATAGTTGGCTATCGGCAGGTAATGCTCAACAATATAAATATTACATTAATAATTGATTACTTATTTATCAATAACCATGCATTTTTAAAAGTTTAAATGTATCATCAAGTGTTTCTGAAAAAGTTATTAATAATTCTCACTCGATCTGATTGGAATACATCACATGCGATCGGCGTGTCCCATTCGGTGTAGTCCCTTCCAAACGCATCCGAAGTTCAAAGACTCTCCATAGCAAACGAATTACTTCCATCGGCTGTTGTTTGGCTTAACTGTGCCGGTTTGGTCGGGTTAAACTATGGGTACAGGCTTTCAGTTTAAAGCCCAGCGGACCTCTAATCTATATCACGATCTGATTAAGTGTACAGCCCTACTTTTGATTTATTCACCCGAAATTTGCCAAATTCTGTGACATTCCGCGCTATTTCAATTTTTTTGATTGGTTTTTATTAGGGATGGCCCGATACCGATACTGGCATCGGGGATCGGGCCGATACTGTCCTAATATACTCGTACTCGTACTCATAAAAATTCGCCGATACCACGCACCGATACCACGTACATTTTCCAAAACGAAACTGGCCGCCGCGAGTGCTTTGTCGAGGTGAACTGAGGCATAGGAAAGTATAATGTCGGCGGTTTGGGCTCATTTCAAGATAAGGGGTGATGACAACAGCAAGGCAGACTGTGAGTTATGTTCAGCTAAGGTGTCGAGAGGAGGGAAAGAAAGTACATCGTTTAACACCAGCAATCTAATTAAACATCTGAAGACGCATCATAGATCTGATGGCCGAGCGCGCGCGCGGGCGGTAATGCACTCACTCTGTGTGTGCGGGTTACGGGAGAATAAAACGATTCGCGGGACTCCCGCAAACTAGAAATATCTATGAATAAAACATAAAAACTAAAAGATTTTTATTCATCTCTTGCAGAAAAGCAACAAGAACAACTACAACAAAATAGAAACGATTTACAGGCCAGAGTTTCTATTCATAACATGGTTACAGCGTTGAGCGATGTAGCCAATCACAGACATATGTGTTGATTTCTTGAACGCAATGGCCAATCAGAAGCATTTAAGATAGACTCCCCTCACCGCTCGAAACGGACTTTTTTGTTCAGTGCTGAATTCTGTATGCTGGCAAATCCTCTAATTATAACAAACAAAGTGTGGATATTATGAAAGATTGATTGTGCAGTCAGCTTCATTGATAATAACAGAGATGTGTGAGATCGCGATGAACTGTCAGCTTTTAGGATTTATTAAGGGAGCGCACTTTGCGCGCATTCAGTCATGCCAGACCATGCACGCAGCCTGCATGCTTTTATGTTAAATTAACAGTGGTTTGTGTGTTAATACATTTATTATTTTACTAATTTATATTTATTTTTAGACTTGTTAAAACAAGCAGAGAAGAAAATAAAAACAGTCTTCTAACCTGTGTTCTAAAATAGTTGTCTTCTTTTCTGGGAGCCTATTACTTTTGCGGTAGAAATATCGGTATCGGTACTCGGTATCGGCAAGTACACAAATGTGAATACTCGTACTCGTATCGGTTTGAAAAAAAATGGTATCGGGCCATCCCTAGTTTTTATGATTTTTGTGGAAATCATGGGGAGGGAGACAGTGCAAATTTCAATATCCAAAGGCTTTCGAATCAAGACAAACCAATGTATTAAAATAATCAAATACTGTTGATAAGAGATGTCAGAAGTCTAACCCAGAGTTCTTGTCTTTGAGCCAGTTCAGTAGCGCATCTTTATTGAAGGCGGCAGCAGCGGCCATGTTACTGCTTGTTTTCTGGATGTTCGCGATGGTATCAGCTAAAGACACGACCTCAATCAGACCAGAGCGATCTCCTGTCGCCAGACAACCATAAGGCACAATCCTGCGAGACATAAAAAAAAAAACATAATTTGAAATGATCTATAAAGCCATTAACATTAACACCCTTGTGCTTAATCCTGTTGTTTACACGTACAGTAGTTTTGGTATTGAGAACCACATTTATACAAATGTGTGTAATGTGTATAGAACCAAACTGAACTACTAGTTTTAATTCAGTAACATCACACTCTTTTGGACGACTGTAGTCATTATGGATGCTTCAAAAAAAGGGTTAACAGTCTTAACTCATCCACACATTTTGACACTGTCTCTCTTCACCAGTATATAACAGTGTTTAAAAACCGCTGTTGAAGCACCTGAACCCCCCGTGCATAAGCCTGACATCTTTGTCCACCATGGGTTTACATTTACTGTGTATTAGAGCTGCACGATTCTGGGTAAATAGAGAATCACACATACAAAAAATTAAATAAAAATTAAATAGAGATCACGATTCTCCCACAATTCAGCTAAAAAAATAACATGTAATTTACTAGAGGCTCTGAATGAAACTTGACGAAATTCAAATTAATTACGTTTTTTAAATAGACTGCAGCATTTAATATTTTTAATTGCTGCAGTCTATTTAAAAAAAAAACGATTAGAATTTCGTCAAGTTACTTTCAAAAGGTGTTTTAATCTATTTCGATCCCTACCATTAGACAGCAGTGTTTATATCCGAAACTTTTATCCTAGTATCTCTGAGATTATTGTAGAAATATAAATAAAGAAATAATGATACTGCGTGGCTCAAAAGTATGGAAACCCATGTATAATCGGTGTCATTATTTTTATTAGTTTGTAAATACTTTGCAAACAGCTATTTGGTTTTAGTGGTTTTATTCAAAAAAATTTTTTTTATAATGACACTGTATTTTCAATGTTTGAGTGCAATTATTCACTTTTGAAAATTAAAACAAAAATACTTTAATAACAACGTAATTGCGTGTAATATTTTCAAAAAAAGTAAGTGGATGTAGTGCGTGTAAATGGAACTATCAGGCTTTTTTCGCAACCTTGGGATCATTTTGTTTCCAAGGAGGCTTTTTGAGGCTCCAAGTGTCAGTTTTGGGAAATGTGCCTAAATAGAGCAAGAACCTTTTTTTTGGTAACATCATCCTCAAATTGAATAATGACAATCAGACTTGCTAAGTCAAATTTATTTGTATAGCACCTTTTTACAATATGCATAATTTCAAAGCAGCGTTAGAGAAAGTCCTGCTGTCTACAATGCCTTAGTGCTTTACCATACCAAGCGCTCCTCTGAATTTCAGATCTAGATATATAGTTATGTATTTATTTTGGTGTCTAGCACAAACACTGCAATTCAAAATTTAATGTTAACATTCAAGTTTTAATGTTTTAAAAGAAGTATCTTATGCTCACCAAGGCTGCATTTCTATGATTAAAAAAAAAAAAAAAAAAACGTTTTCTCTTTGAATATATTTTAAAATGTAATTTATTCCTGTGATCAAAGCTGAATTTTCAGCATCATTACTCCAGTCTTCAGTGTCAGTATCCTTAAGAAATCATTATAATATGCTGATTTACTGCTTAAGAAACGTTTATTATTATTATCAATGTTGAAAACACTTATGTACAATTTTTTTCCAGGAATCTTTAATGAACTTAACCTGCACGGATGAATTGTTCACCCTAAGACCAGTAATGTGTGCTAACAAAGTAAATGGGGTCAATTTTGATTTCATGAGGACTTTAACAGTTGCAGTTGTAATTCCCCAAATTGTGTGTAAAAGGCCTGAGAGCACTCTGATACACTAGAGGTTTCCAATGATGACAGGCATTCCAGTACAACAATTCAGTGTTAGGTCAAGAGGTCTGTAGTGTTCTTGTCAAAATCTAGTTTTAAGATGCACACACACACACACTCTCTACCTGAGGTCCAGGTTTGCCTCCTTCCATAGCAGATCCATCAACCTCAAAATCTGCAGAGTCAACATGTCCTGCCTCAGGTCTGAAAAAGAGAGATTTGTAAAGTACTGTAATGTGATGTGATTCTGTGACAGCCTTGTGTCTAGCACCCGAGCGTCTCTCCCTCACCGTCTCCATTTTTGAAGATGATGTCCACTGTGTCTCCTCCCAACAGCTTGTTATTGTAAACTATCCACAGAGGTTTCATCTTAGAGTCCATGTACTTGCACCTCTCGACACTGGCAGAGGAGGAGAAAAAAGCTGGTTAGAAAATTCTTCTTAGTATGCAGTGTTTTATGGAAGCCTGTTTTCGCCACAGAATAAAACATTTTAAAAGATAATTGCGTCTTTTTGTCTCACAATTGCGAATTTACGTCTCGTAATTCTGACTATTTCTCAGAATTGCGTGATATAAAGTCGCAATTGTGTTATAAAGTCAGAACGGCGAGAAATAAACTCGCAATTCTGACTCTTTTTTTTCCTCGTAATTGCGACTTTATATCACGCAATTCTGACTTTTGAATTGTGAGATGTAAATTCACAATTACCTTTTTTATTTTTCAGTCTGTAGCGGAAACAAGCGTCTATAGTATTTTGCAGTATACTGTATATAATCTTCCATCAAAATGAGTCTTTGAAACCATTTCAATTTTCAGCTGAAGTCACCAACCCTGCTTCTCAACTCCTTGCCAAAACCACCCGTCATGCACAGAGACAACTTTCCATAATGCTGGGTACACACTACAAGATATTACACCCCGAGGAGGACAAACACTCTGGAGATTATCATGTGAAACGAAACGATACCCAATCAGAAAGCGAGCTGACGGAAGACATGTAAAGTCCATGTTCGAATTTTCTGTAAAAAGCAGTCCATACACTACAAGTGCCATTTCTTCTTGCCGGTCGTCCGCCATGTCTGTTTACTTTAAAGACACGTTTGATGCAAGAGATTCACAGTCGGGACTCTGGTTGATTGTGAATGGAATCTGTTAGTGTGTGTTATGCTCACTCCACACACAAAAGAAGATATTTTGAGGAATGTGGGTAACCAAACAGTTGATGGACCCCATTGACTTCCATAGTGGGTTTTTTTTCTTACTATGGAAGTCAATGGGGTCCATCAACTCTTTGGTTACCCACATTCTTCAAAATATCTTTCTTTGTGTTCAACAGAAGAAATAAACTCATACAGGTTTGAAACAACTTGAGGGCGAGTAAATGATGACAGGAACTTTAATTTTTGAGTGAACTATTCCTTCAACCTGATCATTGTGGAAGTAAAAAGGCTGTTGCATGTTTACTTTAATAATACTGAAAATAAACAATTCCTTCCCCAACTAATATAGTTCATCATCCCCATATAACTCAACTGGTCTGCAGTGAGCTTGCAGTGAACGAAACACACGAATCTTACTTGACTCCAGCAAGCAACAGGTTGGGGTCGAGAGGGGAATGCAGGTCGGACAGAGTCTCGATGAATCCCGTCTGTCGAAGGCACGTCATCATGGCCTCTTTAAGATGAGCTTGTTTCGTCTTGGTTTTTATGGTGGCCAGTTTAATCAGCTCGTTTACTGCTTTCAGCTTACTGAGAGCTTCAACCTACAAAACAATTACAGCACATCATGATGTTCATTTCAAAATCGTATGGCCTTACAATCCTGCCTCTAAAATGTTCTGAACTATGTGAAGAGGGACAGTAGCTGGGTTTCCATCTAAATATTTGTATGCACATTTTGGGATATCAAAAGTCAAGTCACCTTCTTTATATAGCACTTTTAATATAGATAGTTTCAAAGCAGCTTTACAGTGAAAATAGGACATTAAAGAAACAGAGATTGTTTTGGCTTTACAGCAGCCTTAGAATAAAGTTATTGTCCAGCAAAGGTTAGTTATTGATTGATTTACTTCCATTGCAAAGATCATTAGTTATTAACTTACTGTATAAACACACACACAAAAGTGAAAACAGTAAGATGCAAGTAAAATCTAATGCGCATAAAAAAAAAGACTACTTGTTTCTTTAATTCAGAAACAAGAAATGCACAAAAAACAATGATGCAAATGCTTTTAATGATTTTTTTCCTCCATTCTATCACTGATGGAGTTTGGGTTCCTTAGCTTGATTAGTTTAGGACACTAAATATTCAATAATATTACAGATTTGACTGCACTGACACTGTTGTGTGAGCTGACGATGACATCACTGTTGTCTCCAGAGCTGCTTTATAGAGGAATTGAACTCATTCATTGATGATCTTTAGACAGTTTTTGAACGGAACTAATCAACACTGGACTGACTTTAAAGCAGAATCGAACTCCATTTGCATCTCGAAACCATTGTTCCTCTCTTTATCACTGCTTTGAAATAATCTGTACTGTATAAAGCGCTATATAAATAAAGGTGGATTGACCTGAATGAATAAATTTGATGCCTAAACAAGTCATGTGATATAAATATCAGCAGCATCGCAATATCTTTGCACAGTTTCTTAAGTGTTGCTTTGGTTGCTCTTGTTCTCTTGGACACATCTGTACACTTTGCACTCTAGAACTTAATTAGTTGTAAAGTTCTTCATCAAATGTAGCGCATTACACGCAGTAAAGCTTCCAGCAGGTTTGAGCCGGAAGAAGGAAATCTTAATGATTCAACTGTACATTAAACACCAGATGTTTTGTAACAGCTTTTATTGACAGTGTGTCACAGAAGAGGTGACCTTTAGCACTCTACTTTTGCCTTGATTTTGAAATGTCCAGCTGTCATTTTTGGCAAACTTTGAACGGTTAAGTACTGTTCTCTTCACTGACACAGTTTGCCCATGTCTGGCATTTGCACTTGTTATTTTTGACACCGTTCCCTTTAACAATTTATTTTATTTGAGACCAATAGTTGAGCACATGTTAGCCATGTTGCTTTAACTCACTCCTCATAATGCTAATTATTAAAGTGCCTCTATTATGCTATTTTAAAGGTTCCTGATTTTGTTTTGAAGATCTCCTACAATAGTTTTCATGCATCCAAGATAAAAAAACACTTATTTTCTCATAATATACATTGCACATCACCTCATTTCTAAAAGTGTCTGAAAACGGTTTGTTCAAATAATCACTCTCTTAACCCCTCCTTTCCGAGAGCCAATCTGATCTGATTGGTCAGATGACCCAGTCTGTTGTGATTGGTCTACTCTGCTCTGATTGGTCAGATGGCTCAGTCTGTTGTGATTGGTCTACTCTGCTCTGATTGGTCAGATGACCCAGTCTGTTGTGATTGGTCTACTCTGCTCTGATTGGTCAGATGGCTCAGTCTGTTGTGATTGGTCTACTCTGCTCTGATTGGTCAGATGGCTCAGTCTGTTGTGATTGGTCTACTCTGCTCTGATTGGTCAGATGGCTCAGTCTGTTGTGATTGGTCAGATGACTCAGTCTGTTGTGATTGGTCTACTCTGCTCTGATTGGTCAGATGACTCAGTCTGTTGTGATTGGTCTACTCTGCTCTGATTGGTCAGATGACCCAGTCTGTTGTGATTGGTCTACTCTGCTCTGATTGGTCAGATGGCTCAGTCTGTTGTGATTGGTCTACTCTGCTCTGATTGGTCAGATGGCTCAGTCTGTTGTGATTGGTCTACTCTGCTCTGATTGGTCAGATGGCCCAGTCTGTTGTGATTGGTCAGATGACTCAGTCTGTTGTGATTGGTCTACTCTGCTCTGATTGGTCAGATGACTCAGTCTGTTGTGATTGGTCTACTCTGCTCTGATTGGTCAGATGGCTCAGTCTGTTGTGATTGGTCTACTCTGCTCTGATTGGTCAGATGACTCAGTCTGTTGTGATTGGTCTACTCTGCTCTGATTGGTCAGATGGCTCAGTCTGTTGTGATCGGTCTACTCTGCTCTGATTGGTCAGATGGCTCAGTCTGTTGTGATTGGTCTACTCTGCTCTGATTGGTCAGATGACTCAGTCTGTTGTGATTGGTCTACTCTGATTGGTCAGATGGCTCAGTCTGTTGTGATTGGTCTTCTCTGCTCTGATTGGTCAGATGGCCCAGTCTGTTGTGATTGGTCTGCTCTGCTCTGATTGGTCAGATGGCCCAGTCTGTTGTGATTGGTCTACTCTGCTCTGATTGGTCAGATGGCTCAGTCTGTTGTGATTGGTCTACTCTGATCTGATTGGTCAGATGACCTAGTCTGTTGTGATTGGTCTACTCTGCTCTGATTGGTCAGATGGCTCAGTCTGTTGTGATTGGTCTACTCTGCTCTGATTGGTCAGATGGCTCAGTCTGTTGTGATTGGTCTACTCTGCTCTGATTGGTCAGATGGCTCAGTCTGTTGTGATTGGTCTACTCTGCTCTGATTGGTCAGATGGCTCAGTCTGTTGTGATTGGTCTACTCTGCTCTGATTGGTCAGATGGCCCAGTCTGTTGTGATTGGTCTACTCTGCTCTGATTGGTCAGATGGCCCAGTCTGTTGTGATTGGTCAACTCTGCTCTGATTGGTCAGATGACTCAGTCTGTTGTGATTGGTCTACTCTGCTCTGATTGGTCAGATGACTCAGTCTGTTGTGATTGGTCTACTCTGCTCTGATTGGTCAGATGGCTCAGTCTGTTGTGATTGGTCTACTCTGCTCTGATTGGTCAGATGGCCCAGTCTGTTGTGATTGGTCTACTCTGCTCTGATTGGTCAGATGGCCCAGTCTGTTGTGATTGGTCAACTCTGCTCTGATTGATCAGATGGCCCAGTCTGTTGTGACTGGTCTACTCTGCTCTGATTGGTCAGATGACTCAGTCTGTTGTGATTGGTCTACTCTGCTCTGATTGGTCAGATGGCTCAGTCTGTTGTGATTGGTCTACTCTGCTCTGATTGGTCAGATGACTAAGTCTGTTGTGACTGGTCTACTCTGCTCTGATTGGTCAGATGGCCCAGTCTGTTGTGATTGGTCTACTCTGCTCTGATTGGTCAGATGACTCAGTCTGTTGTGATTGGTCTACTCTGATTGGTCAGATGGCTCAGTCTGTTGTGATTGGTCTTCTCTGCTCTGATTGGTCAGATGGCCCAGTCTGTTGTGATTGGTCTACTCTGCTCTGATTGGTCAGATGGCCCAGTCTGTTGTGATTGGTCTACTCTGCTCTGATTGGTCAGATGGCCCAGTCTGTTGTGTTTGGTCTACTCTGCTCTGATTGGTCAGATGGCTCAGTCTGTTGTGATTGGTCTACTCTGCTCTGATTGGTCAGATGACTCAGTCTGTTGTGACTGGTCTACTCTGCTCTGATTGGTCAGATGACTCAGTCTGTTGTGACTGGTCTACTCTGCTCTGATTGGTCAGATGGCACAGTCTGTTGTGATTGGTCTACTCTGCTCTGATTGGTCAGATGGCTCAGTCTGTTGTGATTGGTCTTCTCTGCTCTGATTGGTCAGATGGCCCAGTCTGTTGTGATTGGTCTACTCTGCTCTGATTGGTCAGATGGCCCAGTCTGTTGTGATTGGTCTACTCTGCTCTGATTGGTCAGATGGCCCAGTCTGTTGTGATTGGTCTACTCTGCTCTGATTGGTCAGATGGCCCAGTCTGTTGTGATTGGTCTACTCTGCTCTGATTGGTCAGATGGCTCAGTCTGTTGTGATCGGTCTACTCTGCTCTGATTGGTCAGATGGCTCAGTCTGTTGTGATCGGTCTACTCTGCTCTGATTGGTCAGATGGCTCAGTCTGTTGTGATTGGTCTACACTGCTCTGATTGGTCAGATGGCTCAGTCTGTTGTGATTGGTCTACTCTGCTCTGATTGGTCAGATGGCTCAGTCTGTTGTGATTGGTCTACTCTGCTCTGATTGGTCAGATGGCTCAGTCTGTTGTGATTGGTCTACTCTGCTCTGATTGGTCAGATGGCCCAGTCTGTTGTGATTGGTCTACTCTGCTCTGATTGGTCAGATGGCTCAGTCTGTTGTGATTGGTCTACTCTGCTCTGATTGGTCAGATGGCCCAGTCTGTTGTGATTGGTCTACTCTGCTCTGATTGGTCAGATGGCTCAGTCTGTTGTGATTGGTCTACACTGCTCTGATTGGTCAGATGGCTCAGTCTGTTGTGATTGGTCTACTCTGCTCTGATTGGTCAGATGGCTCAGTCTGTTGTGATTGGTCTACTCTGCTCTGATTGGTCAGATGGCTCAGTCTGTTGTGATTGGTCTACTCTGCTCTGATTGGTCAGATGGCCCAGTCTGTTGTGATTGGTCTACTCTGCTCTGATTGGTCAGATGGCTCAGTCTGTTGTGATTGGTCTACTCTGCTCTGATTGGTCAGATGGCCCAGTCTGTTGTGATTGGTCTACTCTGCTCTGATTGGTCAGATGGCTCAGTCTGTTGTGATTGTAAAGTGTTACCCAACTTTCTATACATTTTCACAGCACTTATAGACACAATGTTCAATCGTAACAAAACATGGTACACTTGAACACATAACAAATACCGATCTCAATTAATCAAATTCTACTCCAAGAAAAAGAAAAAAAAGAAAAAAAGTATAACCAAGGAAAGAAATCAGAACTGCAATGTTTTGATCAATGAAGCAGAAATTCTCCCTAAGTCTATAATTGTATTTTTTCTTACATTTTTGCCATCCGATTTCATATTAAACAGACCAAATGCTATCTCTGAGCGAAACAGATAATACTGGAATGGGCTGGAATGAAAGCGGTGCACCTGTTTTTTGAGGACCTCTATGTGTGGGATGCAGCCTCGGCAGTACGCTTCCAAAATCAGAGCGAAATGAACCGATACCGGTGGCATGTACATTTCAGACCTGTAACGTACAACACACACACAATCATAACCTTGAATTCTGCGTAAGCATTCTGAAATACCAGGTGAACTGAATTACTGACATATTCAGGCTTCTTCACATGTACACACTTGCCTGAGATGCCAGAATAGGAAATGGCCTATTTTCCGGCTGGTCTGAGCGCGCTCCAGGAGGAACCGGCTGAGGGCGCAGTCGTAGTACGGCTCATAGCGCAACACCTGCACGAGCTGAAGCAAATACTGCAACAGCTCGTCATCCCTAACACACACACACACACACACGTGAACAAACATTCAGGGTTTCAGCATTTCTCATGTGGTTTCCTTGACATGCTCCCAGACAACGTGGGCTGCTCACCTCATATCTCGAAGGCACGTGACTGCAAATTCTCTGACATACTGGTCGGGGTAGTTGAAGTCCAGGAGCTCGAGAGCATCTCGAGGGCTTAGCTTCGGCCAAATCTGCAGCAAAGCCTGTAGCTGCAGTACAAGAGAGAAAAACACTGTTTGAGTTTGAACTCTACAGGGGGAATGTCAAGTCACCTTTATTTATATAGCGCTTTTTACAATACAGGGTGTTCCAAAGCAGCTTTACAGTGATAACAGGATAAAATAATGCAACAAAGTTTGCTTCCAGAAGAAAATAGCGTCACAGTCCAGCTTAAGTAAGTTCAGTGATGGTTAGTTTTTGTTGTAAAAAAGTTATTAATTTAGTTCATTTATATACAGTCGCTCTGGAGAAAACGCTCTGATGTCATCGTCCAGCTTAGTTCAGTTCTCATATAATGGTGTCAATGCAGGCAGATCAATAATATTGTTCAATATTAACCCTCTGGGGTCTGAGGTGTTTTCGGGGTCCTTGAGATGTTTTGGCATGCTCTGACATTTGTGCTTTTTTCAGTTGCTTATAAACATATTAATGGCACAGGTGAAATTACACTCTATATAGCACACACAGGGCTACCATAATATGCGAGCAACATGTATGTACATGTTTGTATTTTTGAGAGAATATTGTTTATGCGTGGTTATTGAAAAAACTAAAAAATAAAGTTTCTAATATAAGGCCACAAATAACATACTAAATATCTGTCCACAAGACTTTTGACTAGTGGATGTTGTCGCCTAGAGTATTTGCTTCAAATTGATCTGAAAATCATTCTGCCTAATCATTCACATAAAACAATAGATTGTTTTAAATTGTGAAAAACATTTTTTTGTTTGCAAAGGCAATATGCGGATGGGCGGAACGCCCCAACCCCCTCATGAATAATTAGGCAGTTCTCACCTGAGCAGACTGCATACTAATGAGCCTTTCATTCAGGGGTGTCACACAAGAAAGAATGCAAGGACAATATATATATAAATAAATAAATATTTATACACACACACACACACACACACACATATATATATATATATATATATATACAAACAATCAAAATATAAATGAAAGCCAAAAGCACATTTTTAGTCACACCTTTTAGCCATCCACATACCATTTTTAGCCATCCACCGCGGTAAAAATAAACCAGTCGCATTTCAAAGTCATACGCGAAATGACCGCCAGGTGGCGCAAAGGGACATTTAGCAAAGCGTAAGTGGGGCTAATGTCTATTAACAGTAGCCTAAGGATGAAATACTACAAGTTATGGTAATTTCCAAATAAGCCTACAACAAATTGTTGGTCATACAGATAAGATATAATCTTTTAAAACTGTAAAAGCCTACACTCACAGGCTAAAGACAAAACGTTTTCTCGCTCATGTGAGAACCAAACGTTTGGGTATTTCTCAGTAAGAAAATTCATAGCCGAGCGGTAGAACTTACGGTTCATCATCAAGATGACACGGGTTCAAATCCCGCACAAACATGGTCTGCTGTAAATTTTATATTTATTATTGCAGAGATTTGTCTAGCTCTAAAACTCTGTTACACCATACAGTTTTTTTTTTTTGCTTATATTTATAAAATACAATTATCATGCATTTCCATTTTACACTAAGGAACAAAATAGTATCCAACAGAACGACTTTGCATCTGTATAATAATAGGCTACCAATCGTAATTTCAAAAGCAGTTCTGTAAAAAAATAAATTATATATAGCCTATATATATATATAGGCTATATATAGGGCTGGACGATTTTGGCTAAAATCATAATCACGATTAATCAAACAAGTTACCTCGATTACGATTATTGAACGATTATTTTTTATTTTTTTATCATGTCACTGGCAAGGCTTATACTGTAAATATGTTCACGGTTATTTTTTCTAATGAAAGAGTGCATAACATTATCTTTGTGATTCTAAAATAAGGAAACACACAGAAAGCTATTAATGCTTATTTATTAAACATTTCAAACAATTGAATCAAACAAAGCATACAATGCTTGAAATAAAAACGTCTTATAAAAAAGTCATTTAAGTTTTAATGTAAAAAGAAAGTTTCCTAAAAATGTAAAATAAAGAACTTTTAAATAGTTATTTTTGTAAACAAAATAAATGATTGTAAATATTGCCATCTTAAAAGTAAAATATAACTTGTATAAAACTAAAAAACTAATCCTTTTACACTGCGTGTTTCTTTATGGTAAGCGGCTCCTATTGCTGAGTTGACTCTTGAGTTCCCCTCCATAGCCCCTTTCACACAGAGATTCCGGAAAATACACGGATGATTTGACCCGGGTTCGTTTGACTTTGGTTCATTCACACTGCCAGTGATTTTCCGGAATCAGAGAGTGCGTTCACACACACACACACAACCCGTAAAAACACGTAACACATCGATGTGACATGTAATGTCTCAGCAGCGTCTGCTTATGAGCTGCGATTTCTCTCTCGAGAAACCACGCTTGTGCATTTTTTTTCTCTGATTCGATCATTAACGCTGGCGAACAATCCAGGCTTCAGCGCCATCATTACGACACGGCATTGATTACAGCTTTTGTTCATACGCGTTCCGGGACTGAACACGGCAATGTTACTAGGTCCCCAACCTGACATCAATCCCGGGTCGTGTTTGCGTTCACACAGAAGGAATATTTCCCGGGATCAACGCGCTGTGTGAAACGGGGCTCATGTTGCTTCAATGTCGCAGACTGTACGGGGCGGAGTCACGTGACTACACACGCGGTAATATGTTTTAAGGGGAAAGTACATTAACACACAGTGGGCGGAAATATCAATAGGATTAAAAAAACGAAAAAACCGACATGGTAAAATTACGTCGGTTATAGGCTCTGAATTTCGGTTTCGATTATTTTTCGATTAATCATCCAGCCCTAGCTATATATATATTTTTTTTATTTATTCCAGGCTCTCACGCCACACCCCCGATTTCTCACGCTGAAGTGTCAACCCGGTCGGTCAAATTCCTGAAAGATATAGTTTATCTATGGATCTACCTGTTGAGCCACTCGTGATCGACTAGTTATACCGCAAATTAGTTAAAATATCCCGTAATCTATCTAGAGCGAGCGTGCATGCGAGACAGATATTGTGCTCCAAACCGTGCGCGCGCATGGCAGAGAGGTCTGTTCCCTACAACCTAGAGTTTTTAAAAACATGGTTTTAAGTAAAGTGTGATTTGCCAGGGGGGACTGGGATTTCTTTCTGGTCTAAACATCCCTGCTTCTGCAGAATTATTTTAATCCCCACACCCCTCCCTCCACAGCTAATCAATGCTATAGGCTACTTCACCAATATCAAATATATAAAATAGAGATATGCAACAGGCACGTTTAAACGACAAACAATAAAATCAAAACCAGCGTTTCAGTTGTTCATTAGTTCCAGTGGCCTTAATGCATGCACGGCTTTTCAAATTTCACAAAGCGTGTTGAGATTATTTTGAATGAAATATTGAAGTTTATAATTAAGTGTTTTGGCACACCACGCCGAGTGGCCCTATGCATTTTTCTAAAGTCGGGTTTTATTCTGGCATGGTGAGATAGTGTTCGACAAACGCGGCGGCGCGTTCATTTAGATTAATTTATTTATCTCATTATTACAGCTAAAATAACTTAATAGGCGACTCCGTAATTTTTTGGTCATACAGATAAGAGTAGAGTAGCTTACGTCGTTCAAAACTGTAAACTTGTATTCATATTAGGCTAACGACAAAAACAGCATATCTGTCGTCTCTGTCTCCGGGAACTGCGCGTCACAAAAATGAACCGAAAGCCACTTCAGCTCAGTCACGATAAGAAATCGGCTATGTCTAAAGCCTTTAAATGTCTAAATATTTAGGCTAATAAATGTTATCTGATTGTGTAGGCTAATCCATATGAAAACGAGAGGTACAGAGGATCTACTCAAACGTGTAATGTAAGCGCGAAAATGACAAGACAAGGGTGAAAATCTCGCTCTAATTAAATGTAGGCTAAATCGCCCTGAATTAAAATGTAAAAACAGATCAAATAATGTATTTGTCGAAATGTTGCGATATTGTTTCATTTAAGTTCATAATTATTCTATAAATGTTATTTAATTTAGCAGCATTACCACGAAGCACCGTGTTTCGATATTTATTTGAATAATACAAAAAAAAATAAAAACTTAATTCACAAATTGCATGCCTGGTTGTAAGGATCCAAAGATCCCTGTAGACTTTAATATTGAGTTGAACATTTTGTTCATGACAACAAATTAACAAGCGTTTTTTTTTTCAGATTATATTTAGTTTTGCTTGGAAAAAGCTGTCCCAAACCAGTTTTATTTCATCAATTATTGAAATAATGAAATATTTAGTAATAAACTTTTATGACAGAAATATCACTAGGCTACATGTAACTTAAATCATTTAATTCCTTCATTATCAACACTGTCTAGAATAGCGATTTAAGTGTGAATTGCGACTTCTCTTTGTGTTAAGTCAGCCTCAGACTCCGATAGCCTGTGGGGGGTTGGAGGGACAGTTGCTGGACAAAGGTGTTAATGTTCCTCTTTCATATGGAGAGTGTCGGATAGCCAGCCTGATGAGCAGGCAAAATGATTGTAAGGATAAATCTGTGTCCAAATGTAGGCCCCATATCTTATTAAATTATAAATATTGTAGTTTATTTATTGTAGCCTATTTAAAAAAAAAATTTCACACAAAATTTCAATTGAAGTTATTGTAAGGTGAATTCACCAAGGCATGCTGTGTCTTTGAAGCAACAATTAAAGGCTAAATAATTTTTTCGTGATTTGTATGGCTGACACGCAGCGACATATACAGTATTATCAGCTGTATGATGTGTTTTTACCCTGAAATGTTTAATTTCGAGAGAGACCCGGCGCGCGCAGCGAGGGAGACTAAATAAACTTGTTAAAAAGAGATCCAGCTCGAGAGAGGCAAAGAAAAACGCATGTTTTTAATTTAATTATGTTTCTTTGGACAATTTTCGTTTTGTACTGTTTTAATTGTTTAATTTAGCTGTAATTTCTTTGGCAATACAAATTTAAAATGTCGCAAGAATAAGATTAGCCTAGTGTTTCTTATTTTGCATCGCAAAATAAATAAACTCTAAACCCGATGCAACCCATGTTTTAAATTTAAAAAAACTGTCCCGACACTTTATTTAAACCTTGAAATGTCCGAAATTGGTTTCAAACTTAAGTAATTTTAGTGTTCTTTTACATTACACAATAATTTAGCAGACTAAAGACAAGCTTCTTCATTTTCATTTTCTGATGCAATCGGCGGACAATCTTCCTTCATCAGTTTTGTCGTTTGTGCAGCGGCTGTGGTTCTACAGGAATGTAGCAAATTTATGTTGTAATGATAATCAAACAAAACTCTTGACTTTAAATAAGTAAACAGTTATAAACAGTTACCTATTTAAGCATGAAGGTGGTAAAATATAAACGCTGTAGGACAACATCGGTTAACAACATGTATGCTACATTGAGATTCGATCTCGGGTCGATTGAAGCTCCTCGAAGCTCGTGTTGTTGCGTTGATCACTGAGCTATACCGTCTGTACGCTGTTAAAGTTGTAAAGCCTCTTTGATGTAGCCTAAATGTTTTTATTGGAATGTTTTATGTTGAAATGCTTTCATTATTTATTCAATTACATTTCAGTAGCCTAATTTCAGTATTGTGATTATGAATTATTTTAACTACGTTTCACTTGTTGAATTCTTCTGCTACCAGCTTTCAATCGCTCTGAATCAGCCGCGGTGCGGCAGCAGATTACGCATTAGAGAGAATAAACCGGAATAAACGAACACTTTTCAGAGTCTATGATTGTAGCGCCTCTTAGCGGTAAAAGGCAGCAAATACACCACACATTTTACCGCCACGGTGGAACGGCTGATGTGGGCATTGTCATGGCTTGCCTCGACATTTGCGTTTGAATAGCGCACGTCCTCCGTGGGCGTGTCAGATTAACGCATAATGAAGTGTAATGAGCTGGGAAAAAAATACTGACAGCACTCTCTTTTCATACAGATTGCATAAACTGAGAATATTTGTTTTTTATATAAATTACTTCATTTAAAAGAAGAGAATTCAAGCTTCATAAAGAAAAATCTCTCGTGCCTGTGTGACAAGTAATCGCGGAGTTACAGTTAATCTTAGGACGCGTTTCAGAATGGACTTCACTGACAGAGAGAACGCAGAACTCGCATCATGTTTGTTTTTCTTTATTTGGTGAAAAGCACAACACTTTGTTTTTATTGTGAGTATCCACAAAAAAAATAGAAACTTAACAGGATCTAATGATGTATCACACTTAAATGTAAGATCAAAATCAACCGAGTATTTTGAGTCTCTTTTGCACTGATAAGAAAAAAAGCGAGCAGATCACGCCGGCGTGATTGCCGACCCCAGAGGGTTAAATGTCCCCAATGAATGTGCAAGCGTGTGTATGTTTGAGCGTATACCTGAGCCATGTCTTCATGCTTGCTCCATTTGACCGACAGCAGCAGTTTGGGGAGAGACTGAGGGAAGTTTTCTCTGCAGTCGTAGCGAAGCGTCCAGATCAGATCTTTCTCATTCTCACACAGCTGAGAGAGAGGATCCCTCTCCATGATCTCCTTCAGCTCGATGTAAAACTTCTTACCCCCACGACCCTACACACATGGATTTCAACTCATTAGGAAGATCATCTCATAGAAATGGTATTTATGTGGAGCTTATGATATTAATTCATGATATCAATAGATTTGATAAAACTAGAATCCACAATTACATGAAAACAAGAAGCTGGGACATTATTTAAACATTATATAACCTTAGATGTTGAATGTTTATGGATGTCACAATTTTACCATTGTCATGGTCTCACTGGATCCTGCTATTTCTGCAGCTTTTTCCAGGATCTATGGAAGAAAAATATCAGAACATGACAAATGTTAGATTATGTTATGACTATCCACTGACTAATGTATGCAAAAATGGTAAACGCATGCTTTTTCGGGTGCGAGTGCGCAGTTTTTTTGGTTCAAGCTGAGTTTTGTTTTAAACATTTGGTAACTCTCAATTTTTGGCTACATTTTGGTAACTTATTTTGGTTTTTCAGTTTTCAGCCAAAAGAGAATAAAAGGCTGAAAATATTCCCGAAACAATCACCTTACTGCACGTGCGTTAACCCTCTGGGGACCAGAGTGTTTTTGGGGCCCTTGGGATGTTTTGACATGCACTGACATTTGTGCTTTTTTCAGTTATTTATAAACATGTTAATGGCAAAGGTGTAAATTCACTCTATATAGCACAAACTTGGCTACCATGAGATCTGAGCAACATGTATGTACATGTTTGTATTTTTAATAGAATAATGTTTATGCGTGGTTATTGAAAAAAATAAAAATGAAAGTTGCTGAAATAAGACCACAAAACACATATTGATTATTTCTTCACAAGACTTTTGAAAATTGTATCACATAGCCTAGAATATTTGCTCCAAAACTATGTGAGAATCATCCTGACTGCTCATTCAGATAAGTCAATAAAGTCTTTTACATTTTTAATGACGTGTTTTGTTTGAGAAAGCTTTATGCAGGAGGCTTGATCTCTCATTAATATGTATGGCATTCCACACCTGAGAAAGACAAAGACCCTCCCCATAATGGCCCTATTAGGTGCTATCAGGCCATATCATTACAGGAGCCTTGCACAAAGAATGAGGAGATTTAAAAAAGAATGGCTTTTAGATTGTTTGGATTTATATAAGGAAAATACAGGGTGCATACGTCTGGACACTTCTATCACACACCCTTCACCATATAGACATGGTTTTATTTCAGTTCAAAGTTCAAAGTTAGAGTTGGAAACATCTTGAAAAGAAAATTGTCTTTCTCCATAAATGTCTTAGTTTGATCATACATATTTCAAAGTTGAGGATTCATTATTTTGATATAGCTTGAACAAACACTATAAGATCTTAGTTGATTAGTTTATTGACAAAACATACTATATATTTAACATATGAGCAGAAACTCCTAAAAAAGCTTATTTGATGTATATTTTAGAGTAAAAACTTTATCCAAAACGAGTCAACGAAATGTTGTCTGTTATTTAGTCTGTAACAGTGCGTATCTGTGCGTTCATTCATTCATTCATTCATTCACACACACACACACACAAACATGATTCACATTTAACAGTATGCTATTTTTCCGTTTACAGACACTACGTTATTCTATATCGCGATTAGAACAAAGCACTTGCAAAAAACACTTACTTCTCAGCTGAATCTGTTCATCCTCGAAGTGAAACTAAACCCAGTGGTAAATGTCCCAGGATTGTTCCACATATAGCCGCGCAAGACGACAGTAGATTAATCTGACTAAAAAATAATGTGTGTTTTCAGAGTTTATGGGCGTTAACGCGTCTCAATGTGTTGCTTCACATATTTGCGTTTGAATAGCGCGTGCTCTCCGTGGGCGTGTCACATTACCAGTGATAATCAGCTGAGAGAACGATAATGAGACGGGCTGACACGTCTCTCTTTTTATATAGATGACATAAACGGAGAATAATAATTTTAGTTTTGAATCGGATCATTTAAAAGTACAAACTCAAATGATTTAAAAGATATATTGCTTATGGCTGGGTGAATAGTATTAGCTGAGTTGTGTTGAAGATTAGAGACGTGCTCCAGAAAAAATGTTCACGGTGACCGAGAGGCAGAACGCACACCCGGTTTATTTTCTTTATTTTACAAAAGCACAATATTTTATTTCGATTGTATGTGGGCACATAAAAAAGTAGACATTTAACAGATTATTTTCTCATATTTCTTAACTCTATATGAACAGAAATGATGGTAGTACTTTAAGTCTATTTTTCTGCTATGTGAAAAAAAACGAGCAAAACGCGCCGGCGCGTTTCTGGTCCCCAGAGGGTTAAACATACTAAGAGTTAAGAAATAATGGTAACACTTTACAATAAGGTTCATTAGTTAACATGAACTAAGAATAAACGATACTTCTACAGCATTTATTAATCTTAGTAAATGTTAATTTCAACATTTAAATTAATTTGTTAACATTAGTTAATGCACCGTGAACTAACATGAACAAACAATGAACAGCTGTATTTTTATAAACTAACATTAACAAAGATTAATAAATACTGTAACAAATGTATTGCTCATTGTTAGTTCATGGTAGTTAATACATTAACTAATGTTAACTAATGAACCTTATTGTAAAGTGTTACCAAAATAATAAAGTTATACATTTATAAACGATCATTTTATTAGCAAAATATCCCACCACTCAGTGTTTCGTCCAGGTTGCACTCAAAATCGTATGTTCTCAAATGCAATTGTAATCCTGTTTTGCAGCAGGACCGCAATTCTGAGTAAAAAGGAACATTTCTCTTTAGCTACACTATGAAAGTATAGAGGTTATGTGCGTGACGTCACTGTCGGCTGGAGTGACTGCGGTTACACACACTGAGTGGCAAAAAGACTGAGCGGCAGCATTAACTTTCAGCGTGAATGCCACGAAAAACACACAAAACACATCTCAAACGGGAAAGAGCTTTGAGATTGACTGTATAAATAGATATATGACAAAAAATCTTAGGTATATTTTTAAATGAAAGCTTCTGAAAGCTACAGAACACAGAAGCAAATGGATCGCTGCAGTTCACAGAAACATCGACTCCAGGCAGGATTCGCAGTTATCATTTTGCTGTCAATATGCTGAATTTAGGTGTAAAATCATACCCTATATATTGTATTGTTATATATTATAGTGACAACTCATCAATTAAATATTTACCATTTTATATTCTGCTTTTTTTTTTTAAATAAACACTGACAAAAAAAAAATGTTTTATGGCTGGACGATATGATGATATACACTCACCTAAAGGATTATTAGGAACACCATACTAATACTGTGTTTGACCCCCTTTCGCCTTCAGAACTGCCTTAATTCTACGTGGCATTGATTCAACAAGGTGCTGAAAGCATTCTTTAGAAATGTTGGCCCATATTGATAGGATAGCATCTTGCAGTTGATGGAGATTTGTGGGATGCACATCCAGGGCACGAAGCTCCCGTTCCACTACATCCCAAAGATGCTCTATTGGGTTGAGATCTGGTGACTGTGGGGGCCATTTTAGTACAGTGAACTCATTGTCATGTTCAAGAAACCAATTTGAAATGATTCAAGCTTTGTGACATGGTGCATTATCCTGCTGGAAGTAGCCATCAGAGGATGGGTACATGGTGGCCATAAAGGGATGGACATGGTCAGAAACAATGCTCAGGTAGGCCGCGGCATTTAAACGATGCCCGATTGGCACTAAGGGGCCTAAAGTGTGCCAAGAAAACATCCCCCACACCATTACACCACCACCACCAGCCTGCACAGTGGTAACAAGGCATGATGGATCCATGTTCTCATTCTGTTTACACCAAATTCTGACTCTACCATCTGAATGTCTCAACAGAAATTGAGACTCATCAGACCAGGCAACATTTTTCCAGTCTTCAACTGTCCAATTTTGGTGAGCTCTTGCAAATTGTAGCCTCTTTTTCCTATTTGTAGTGGAGATGAGTGGTATCCGGTGGGGTCTTCTGCTGTTGTAGCCCATCCGCCTCAAGGTTGTGCGTGTTGTGGCTTCACAAATGCTTTGCTGCATACCTCGGTTGTAACGAGTGGTTATTTCAGTCAAAGTTGCTCTTCTATCAGCTTGAATCAGTCGGCCCATTCTCCTCTGACCTCTAGCATCAACAACGCATTTTCGCCCACAGGACTGCCGCATACTGGATGTTTTTCCCTTTTCAGACCATTCTTTGTAAACCCTAGAAATAGTTGTGCGTGAAAATCCCAGTAACTGAGCAGATTGTGAAATACTCAGACCGGCCCGTCTGGCACCAACAACCATGCCACGCTCAAAATTGCTTAAATCACCTTTCTTTCCCATTCTGACATTCAGTTTGGAGTTCAGGAGATTGTCTTGACCAGGACCACACCCCTAAATGCATTGAAGCAACTGCCATGTGATTGGTTGATTAGATAATTGCATTAATGAGAAATTGAACAGGTGTTCCTAATAATCCTTTAGGTGAGTGTATATAAAATTTTTAGGAGTGATCACCCGGATTCAAATCTACCTATATTATATTGTGTATATAAAGCGTTCACAGGCAGACAGGCATGTATTTGCTCCTGGACAGCATGTATTAACAAAACTCTGATTAATCACTTTACATGTCAGTCAGACAAGCTTTGTCTAAGTGGGCAATTCTTGGCAAAAATATTGTGTAGAAGCCAATCAGGCAATTTTCTGATGGCTCTGCTATTTTTTATTCAGTAAATGAAGAGTGGACATGTGTGAGTGTGATATGTGAGATATGGATACCTTGTCAAAAGCGGGAAACACAACTGATTTTGTTGAGTATTCAGGAAAGCTTATATGCAGTTCTGTGGCGTTCTCCGTGTATGGATTGGTCTGAATCGTCCCAATAGGGTTCAACATCTCTTCCAGCTCATCTGCAACACACAGAAAAAAGGCATTTCCTGAACACATTTCCTTCCTTTACAAGACATCAGTGCACAACCTTCCACAAAATGAAGTACTACTCGCAGATGAACTGATAACTCACACAGAGTTTACTCTACACACGCATGCGCACGCACACGCACACGCACACACACAACCCAGCAGTTTACACAACGACATAGTCACATCACACCGCCGTAAGCTGAGAATATTTCCTAAAAGTTATTTGTGTCTTGCCAAGAGAAACGCACGGACTGTAAATACATGGGTAAACGTGGGTAAAAATGAGCTGTGGTGGGTAACGCTGTCAAAGCACTAGCCAATTTGGCATGTTACTTATTATGTTTACTTACTTTGAAGGGGAAGTTCGTGTAAGCCAAATCTGCACAGATTTAGCGCAAATACTCGACTCGTGAGTATGGTTTGAATAAGGTTTGGTTTGAATAAGAAATGATTGCATGGAATCCAAATTTTATTATATTTATATATATATATATATATATATATATATATATATATATATATATATATATATATATATATATATATAAATATAAGCAGTGATGTATTTAATCTGGTTCTTTTCTCTCTTTTTTTGGGCTAGTAGAAGTTCTAAATGGCCGGTAACTTAGTAGCCAAATTGGCCGGTGAGTGAAAAAGTTAATGTCAAACCCTGGTTACCAATCAAATGAAACCACATATTCTTTCAATGAGTGTAGTCGTGAGTAGCTCTCTTGCTGATATACCTGATGATTTTGGAGTTAATTACTTAAAATGCAATTTATCATCATGCAAAAAACAAAAAGGTTGTCAGGTTGTTGGGCTGTAATTACAGTATCTACAGTAGAACAAACGTGAGATCAAACAATAAGAAAGGTTCCCGAATCTCAATCGATTTTTTTGATTGGTTAAAATGAATGGTGAATCTCTCATGTTTTTTCGTGGGTGCTCGGCCATTTGTGGCGCCTATGAATGTGTGTGTGTGTGTGTGTGTTCTCACCAGGGAAAGAGGACCAGCAGTGAAGGATAATGTCCCCAGTCTTCAGCTGCCCTCTGTAGTCAAACACCATCGTGTTCACCCATGCTATTGGGTAGTGCTAGACAGAAAATATAACAAACAAAACAGATGATCAGCTATTAGCCGCTTTCACACAGCAATCCCGGTAAATTACCATAAAATTGGCAGAACGACTTTACAGGTAAATACAAAAATGTGCTGTTCACACAAGCAACAGCGTTCTGGCTTTTTTCGGGTGACAGACCATTAACATCAACTACAAAATACCGGTAAACTCTGTGCTGACGTCATTAACAGGAAGTGACATCTAAAGTTGTTGACAAATCTCTTCATCCGCCCGGAGAGGCGCTTTAGTTTCGTTATCACTCCGATTTAAAGACATTTGTAAACAGTGCTGAGTAAACGTGTCATCTGAGCCATAATTTTATAAATGGCTCGGAGCTTCTGATTGGCCCAAATCACTTCTTACGTCAGCGCGTTCTGGCCTCGTACGTGCAAAATTCCGGTAATCTTTATTCCGCGTTCACACAGTGCATATATTCCGGTAATTTACTGGTAATGTTACAACTTCCCTTACTGGTTAATTGCCGGAACAAATTTACTGGTACATTTGAAAAGGTCCTGTTCACATATGATCTGTTACCAGTAATTGACCAGTAAAGACTGTATGTGTGAAAGGGGCTGTAGTCTATGTGTGACAGTGCTCGAATTGAGGGCTGGGGGATAAAAAAATAGACTTGGGGGGTCCGTAGGATCCCCAATTATTGTTTTGGCAACCATCCATTACCCATTGGAAAAGTAAATTCGAGGACTGGTATGCGATTGCTTAACAATGTGTGCTATGAATAAAGTTTGTGTGTGTGTTGATCTCACCACTTTCCCTGCCTTGCGGATAGTCTGGTATTTGCTCTGGGGGTTCTTGGTGGATCTCTGTTTCTTCACTTTGTCCATAACAGCGTAGATGGCGAAACAGAGGCGGGCCATGCGCGGCAGGTCGCAAACAGCGATGTCGAACTCCAGCGTTTTGTTCCACACGTGCTCAGATCGACTGCTGCTCTCGCTGCTGACCGCGGTCTTGCACAACATCTCTGTGCCGTGAAACAGCCCCGCTCGAACCTGGATCTACACGCACACAAGTTACAGAAATGACATACAACTGTTTTTGGATTAGATTATTCAAATGTATGTGCAAATGCTACTCTTATCCAGGTAATTGACAACGACAAATTTGTCTGACTGAATAATATTCAGCAATATTACTGAGCTGACATCACTGTTTTCTGCAGTGCTGCTTTATAGATGAATTGAAGTCACTTCATATTGATAATCTTTACACAGTTATTGAACCAAACTGAATCAACACTGAACTGACTTCAACTGAATAATAAATGTTTACTATTGTCTTTTTAGAGCTGCTTTACAGCCGAATTGAACTCTGTTTGCATCACTGAATAAATTTTCCTGTTATCTCTGTAAAGCTGCTTTGAAGCAATCTATATTGTATAAAGCGCTATATACATAAAGTGACTTGACTTGACTGACATTATGTTAGTGCTTTGATTGCTTTGTGTAATTGTTAGACTGAAAAGGTATTTGTATAAAGGTTTGTTAAAAAGTAATGGGTAATTTTAGATCAACATATGATGAAGTAAAGGTCAGATTAAAGAAATATGCTAGGTATTAACTTAATTGCAATGGAATGCCTAGCAGGCAAGGTTTAAAAGCAGTAATTATGTATAATTTAAGTATAATGTATATTTGGTGAAACACTTGAATGCATGAATTCTTTACTAAAACAATGTGTGTTCTTGTGTATTTGAATACATTTAGAGGCGGGGCTACTCTTCTTGCTGACATATGGATGTGTGTTGCTGATTGAGGTAAAAGGTTGCATGCTAGAACTTTCACCTTTTACTTTCCCTAAAGGTCTGCTTTTGTATGTTTGGAATTTGGAAATAGTCCAAAAATACTTTGGGTGGAGCAAAGACACTGCACCCTGTTTTAATTGTAATGCAATACTGATTCTGGGCCAGCAGGAGGCAGATAAAGGTTAGTGTTAGTGAGATCAAGCTAAATTCAGAGGTGTTGACAGTATTTACCTTAGCAGCATCGTCAGCGTTCACCTTGTTACCTTTCACAAGATTAATTCTGAACAAAGAATGGACCTTCCAAACACACGTATGTGACTGCTGCGGAGAGAGAAAGATTAAAGGAGAATGTAAGTAAATTATGACAATAAATTATGAAAAGTATATGCATACTGTATTATAAGTGTATTGGGTAGCAAAATATGAAACCAAGTAGCATTAATTTCAAGTTTTTCAGGCAAAACATTTTACACAATGAATAGGTTTTAACATCAAAATGTCGGACATGTTTTGGTAGTCAAACGCCAATGGAACGCAACCACAGTTAAAGTGATGAATTATATATGTGGTTTCTCTCTTGGGACACTTGTATGAACTCGATGACCTGACATCCTCTAAAATGGCTCCATTTTTAAAATGTTGCACCATTCTTGCATATGGTTCTTGGTTTGATATTTATTTTGTCTAATGCGATGACATTTAGACATTAAGTGTGGCTTAAGTTTAAATCACTATACAATTTGCAGTCACACTTTACATTAGCTGTCTTTAACTACAGTGCACTTGCATTCAAAGAAATTGTTAGGTACTATGTATTTATTGTGTTAAATGCTGAATTGTTGTATTACAATGCTGTTAATACATGTTGTATCACAAACAGGTTTGGTAGTATGGGTAGGTTTAAGGGTGGGTTAAGTGAAAGGAAATTTAAAGAAAAGTAATTTTAAGGGTAGGTTAGTACATAGTAGTACTTGAGTCCCATCCTGAGACCCTTTTTTGAAGGTCTCAGTTTAGTTTCAGACTAAGAGCACAAGACGACTCAAGATCAAAGTCGGGATTTGCCAGTGCATTGTCTGATTTATTTGTTCACATCATTACTGTGACTTGATGCAAAACTTTCAGCTTCAAATGCAATCAACAACTTATTTCTAATTTGATTTCTTTTGTTACTGTTGTGCCGGGTCAGAAATGAATGGGGAATTGTGTTAAAAATGTCACCAAAATTAATACAAATGCCCAAAAAAATCAAGATATGATTGCAAAAAAGAGCATGAGAGCTGTTTTCATGAATATGAGCATGACTGAAAAAATTATATTGATTTTATACAAACTTTCAATAAACAAGTAGTTAATATTAAAGGTAGGTAGGCAATTTTTTTATAAATACTTGTTGTTATACTGGTTGAAACTCTCTTCACATCCTGATAGCAATCAATAATAAAAGTGGTCTAAATATATATTATATATATATTTTTTTTACATATAGCTTCTGTAGATGTCTCAGGACTAAAAAAAAGTTCATCCAATCAGTGAATTAGGTCCGAATGCATACATCACTCGTCATCAGCACGTTCGTCGAAGCTACGCAGAGTTGTAGACAGACACAGAGTTTCACAAACAAACAGCCGCCGCTTTTACAGTTCCTCTTGAACCAAAACAACAAGCTTATGCTCCGTTCAAGCCATGTTGTGATTACCGTAACTTACAGACGTAAACCCGTGCTTAGAGACATGAGGTAATTCAGTGCCGTCTCTCTTGGCGCTTTGCAGACTCTGATCTGGCTGTGCGCCTTCATGTGTTTTGGAGGATCTCATGCTTTCAGAGCTAGCTTGCTATTGCTAGCCTCTCCAGAATTGCCTAGCTTTTTAGCTTCACTTCATTGGTTACCAGTGAAATTTAGAATGCACTTCAAAATTTTGGTTCTAACTTTCAGAGCCCTACAAGGACAGGCACCCCCATACATCTCTGACCTGATACAACTGCCTACGTCCTCACGTAGTCTGAGATCAACAGGCCAGAGACTATTAGTTGCCCCCCTTACACATTTTAAAACTAGGGGGGACCGTTCATTTCAAGGTGTGGCACCCAGGTTGTGGGACGCTTTGCCTCCTTCCATACGCTGCTTGGATTGTGTGGAAAATTTTAAAACCCAGTTGAAAAATCTGCTTTTTAAAGAGGCAGATTTTAACTAGACTGTAGGCTGGTTAGGCTGGTCTAATGTGTACGTGTGTTTAATTTGATTATGTGCTGTAATGTATTTATAAGAGTTGTGAATTCTTTCTCTTGTTGGGAAGCACTTTGTGATTTTTATCTGAGAAATGTGCTATACAAATAAATTTTACTTACTTACCCTACCTTAAGTGACTCACATTTTAGACACAATTTATATCAAATTTTTTTCTCTATTTCGGCAACAAAAATAATTTCTAACGAATCCTATTGCTGTGCGTCTCCAAGCAACACACTGCTGTGTTTCGTTCCTGAATGAATCAGCAGCTTTGAACGAATCGGTTGAATAAATGATTCTGTGACTCATTCATTAAATGATCCGCTGCAACCTAGTGGTTTTGGTTTCATATTTAAAACTACCATTTTATCCTTCCATCATATTTGTATATTCAAAATTGCAGAGATGGAATTTGCTGTTAGTGATTTCATTTGATTAATAACAGCTTTATAGTGTCTTATTATTTATTTATTAAATACATAAGACAGGCAGTAAATGTGGATCTTTCAGATGAATTTGAGGAGTGTTAAGTCTGGTCTAACTAGTCTTAGTCTGCTAGTCTTGACTCGGTCTCGCCCTGAATTTAGTTTTTGTCTTGATCCTTGGTTTAGGTGGTCTTGACTACAAAACTACATAGTAGTTAAAGACTGAATATAAAGTGGGAGCCAATTTGCTATACATTTGACACTGTGACCTCATAGACACAAATGCAAGCGAACATACACGCTCAAACAAATGCACATATACATTCCCTTAGGGGTTTTGGTTTAACAGCAGCAGTTTTGACATGGTCAGCACTCTGACATCTGCAAAATAACTCACATGATCAGTGCTAACACACACGTGCCTGACTCACTTCCTGGAACACATTTATGAAACTCACTGGCCTAAAACTGCGTGTGAAGGAAACAAACTATAATGTACACTGGACACAACACATGACCACGATTTATATGATATATCTGTCAGACACAAAACACTACTCATCCACACGGCAGCTAAAACACACCATCCAATAAACAAGTATCACAATACTGTAAAAAAGCTGCACAGCAAGAAGAGAAACAACAACAAAAAACCACCAAGTTTGATGTTTCCTACTCTGTCTGTACTGTATACATATGCATTTACACGACACCTGCTGAGATAAATGCATTCAAATGATTCAGCTAAGTGCCTTCACTTTCCCCTGTTCCAGTTAAATGTGCAAAAAGAACAACAAGCATCTCATTCGTAGTTAGACTTAGCAAAGAGTGTAAACACTGTGACGAGGTGCGAGGTGGAGATGCAATAGGAGTGTTTGGAAAACCCATTTAAAAAATAATCATATTTTTGTGGTGCTGTTTGGTGCTGCTAGCGGCACAAATGAGGACAGCCTGTGATTACAGAAGTGCAGGACACACAGACACTCAGTGTCCTTACCGTCGGCTGTCTCTTCTTCGGGGGCAGTGGTAGAGGAGGGTTCGAACACTTCCGAGCAAGCACTGATCCAATGGTGCTGATCTCCTTCTCAAACATGGCCTTCACAACGCCACAGTGAACCATTGTCAGATGAGGGTTCTCATTTGCCAACAAACAAGCCCTAATGTACTACACACACACACACACACACAAACATTTAGATTAGTGTTTTCATACAGAAAATATAGATCATACTTCTACCATACTGAGGCACCAGGTACCTGAAAGAACTCCATGATACTATCATGTTAATATTCAACAATATTATTGATCTGTCTGCAATGACACCATTATATGAGAACTGAACTGAGCTGGATGATGACATCACGGTTTTCTCCAGAGCGGCTGTATATATATATATATATATATATATATATATATATATATATATATATAAATTAACTAAATTAATAACTTTTTTACAACAAAAATGAACCATCACTCAACTTACTTCAGTGTAGCGTCATAGTAGGACTAGCTATGTCTAGACTAAAGCCTGTGACACTATTTTCTTCTAGATCTGCTGTAGCAGAAACAAAATCTGTTGCATTATTTTCCTGTTATCACTGTAAAGCTGCTTTGAAACAATCTGTATTGTAAAAAGCGCTTTATAAATAAAGGTGACTTGACTGAAATAATACTGCTACTTTTTTTGTAAGTTGTAAAGTGATTTCTGATAACTGTGTCTGCATGGTTTGAGGTTTTTATGCATTTCCTGGAACAACATGGCCCTTATGATCTCTAATGGACTGCTGTGACCGATCCCTCACCTGACTGGTTTCAGGCTCACGATGGAACTGAACTATTATGCACATAAAATTTAAAGTAAAGCACACACTCTTTTGTTTGATGTCTGAACATGACCTACCAAGTTAGACATATTTCACTAAGCGACATTCTTTTTTAATTGTTTTTCGGAAAAACAACTGGGGTGTTACTGTACATCTCATTCTCAGGACGTTTTTGCATAGTAAAAAGGCTAATCTACACTGAAGCTCACTGTGTTCAGTTGATGCATGGGGAATTTTAAATGTGAGCACAAAAGCACATATCAATTAAACAACAGGTAGAATAATGCAGGTCCAAATGGAGAACCCAATCCAAGAACCCAAGTAATATTTTAATAATAGTCATTACTTGTGATTACTTACAAATGTTTTAAAAGCTCCACTTTATGTAAAGTAATAAAGTTCACACAAATATTTTTTAGCAATATTTTCAGTGATTAGCCAATTATTTAATTATTTTTTTATTTATAGCTCCAGAAGGCTTGGAGAATAGCACACTTGTCACTTGGGTTATAGAGTCGTGCAGGTTTGACGTCACTTTTATAGGCCAAGCGGCGGTTCGCAACACACCTTGACAAAGCCATAGACAGTGGACAAACCAAACCCCCAGTAGGATTTTCCCATAGGCTTTTGGATTATCGAATAAAACAAGCTCTGTGATCAACAAAAGTTTATGATACTTGCACGTTTTGTCCATCAAGATAATTATCGAAGATGAACACAACTTTTATGAAGCTTGAAGCCTAAATGCAGTCGCCAGAAGTAAAAAGCTAAAGGCTATAAACGAACTACATCACGGTCCCACGACTTCAACGTCACAATCAATGAGCTTCCCACCACTCTTTCAGTTCTTATCTCCGCCGTCGGTGTATGAATGAGTGAGTGAATGGGTGAATGTAAGGCAATATGTAAAGCGCTTTGGTGGCCATTGGGTCTGTGAAAGCGCTATATAAATGCAGTCCATTTACCATTTATCTAAAAACATTATCCCAGAACGTTTGAGTTAGAATAGTTTAATCTCTGTTTAATCTCCTCAACAGGCTCTTTAGTCCCATTCAGCCACTTGTTAGCAACTGCTGCCTCTTTCAAGACACGTAACAGCTTACAAAACATCACGAGTGGGGTAATACCGATGTATTTTATGCCGTAAAATAAAACGTGTAAGTGTCTTGAGCTTGTGTCAGTCCTTATAAATCACAGACCTTATTTCAGCCATTTAACCAAAACCCCAATCAAAAAAAACCATTGACTTCGGGACGATGGAGCCGGAAGTGCTAAAAGGCTAACTCGTTTCCGCATTTTGGCCAACAAATTTACGTCATGCCTGCACCACTCTATTGACCCCATTAATTTTGTTAAGGCATGTTAATCTTTGGATTAAAGATTACAAGGTCAAACCACTCAACCTCATTTATATAGATCAGTGGGTCAAATACAAGTGTGTACCCTACCCCTAAACATAATTTTTACATTTAAAAAAAGAATTGTTTAGTATGTTTATTTAGCGATTTGAATTATGATGGCATGTCCTCATAATGTAGGGGGCATGGCCTGAAACCTGAATACACAGCACACTATAGTTTGGTCCTCAATTTAGGTCAAACTTGTACACACACAATATATATATATATATGTGTGTGTGTTGGGGGTCATACAAATCATAGAGGTTTGAAATTGCATGATTATGAATTATCAACTGAATTAATAAAATCATCAAATGAATGAAGTACAATGTACAATGCTTTTAGAGGAGCAAAATACATGAGATTTTAAAAAAGCTAATTGCTCTAAAAACTGTTGTTAATATGGCAAACATTAAAAACACACTGTGAACCTTGGAAAATACAGTTTGACCCCTCAAAGCCTTGAATCTTACTTTGTACTGATTAAGAGGGTGATCTTCAAACAGGAACTCCAGTTTGCCGCTGACACGCAGCACATAATCACTCCGGGAACCAATGTCTTCCTCTGGGCCATGAGTGGTCTGCCATTTCTTGAGAGCCTGGTCCAGTAGTTCAGATACTGAACAATGCAATGACACTTTCAGGCTAGCTGTGTCCTACACAGAGAGAAATAAATACGAGGATAAGACTGATCATTCAGTTCATGGTAGAGTCATGCAGCAAACCATGTACTAAAATAACAGTACACACCTGTGACTGGTCGTAGTGCATGGTAATTTTGATTACGCCCTCATGCTTGTCAATCAAATTCTCCAATAACCCTGTCTCCAGCTGAGGGGAGTAACAGCTCCGAAGCCACTCCCCCCACGACATCATCTGCATTTGGTGCATTTTCTCTTCGCTGATTCGCTTCATTTTGGAACGAAAGTCCTTCACTTCCTGGTCTTGCAGGGCGTCCAACTCGTGAAGACCTGTGCCATAACGTTCAGTGACTTTACACTCTCACAATTCCAACAACATCCACGTCAGACAATGTGCTTATGCAATGAATAACATAGAATCTGAATTCAAATCATGTGAACTCTGCCGAGTGTCAATCACTCCGTCACAGATACAATGTAGTTTTAACATTTATGCATATATGATGCTGTGAATTTCTGCTTAAAAAACATGCACACTTTAACACTGGTCCAAAATCAAGCCTAAAGAGTAAAAACAATGTGTGATAAGTCATAGAAACAGTTAACAGTGTGTGTTGTGAAGCTATGCTATGGCCAGGTTTGTGTGTATTGAACACTAGTGTCTGGTTTCACAGACAAGGCTTAAGTTGGTCTCAGACTAAAGTGCATGTTTGAGCTGTTTTAACTGAAAGTAGTTTGCACGGATATATCTTAAAACATGTCAGTGCCATTGTTTTGTCTGAAGATAAGGCATGTTTATAAAAGCCTAATTGAACTATGGCCTAATCCTGGCTTAATCTAAGCCCTGTCTGAAACCGGGCCTAGGTGTGTGGCCTAATATGTAATTTCATTTAAAAAATAAAACCAGATTCATCCTTTTTTTTGTTTCACAGAAAAGATTTATTATTTGGATCTGCAAAATTAAAGAAGATTAAATTATGACAATTTTCATTATTGACTGAACTATTCCTTTAATGAGCGTCTGTTCCCGTTGAATGGCATCAGTGTGTTTTGTCGCGAGACACAGTTCTGAGGGAAAGGTTTCAAATGGCTTCCAGATAACACACATGATGACATTTAAAGAGCATTAAAAATTCATTTGATCCTCTCCACTAAGAGAGATTGCCCATATTGTGTGTGTGTGTGTGTGTGTGTGTGTGTGTGTGTGTGTGTGTGTGTGTGTGTGTGTGTGTGTGTGTGTGTGTGTGTGTGTGTGTGTGTGTGTGTGTGTGTGTGTGTGTGTGTGTGTTTGTTTGTTTCAGAGCCAGTGAATGAGTAAGGGAAGTAGAGTGTTTGAGTGCGTAAGCCTCGACTGGCATCTCATCATAGTCTTATTATAATTAATACGTACATACACAGAAACAGACAATCAGTATCACTTTCAAATCTGCCTCTGCTGAGTCTCATGCACAATTGCTGCCACCAAAAGTGTGTGCCAAAGATTAACAGATACACATTACAAGCTTCATACAGTACCTAGAATACTGTCTAACACTTGATGGCTGCTCTGTCAAGTCTTCGTCGTCGGTTAGGAACCTGGGTGTGCTCTTTGATAGCAACCTTTCTTTTGAAAGTCACGTGTCTAGTATCTGTAAAACCGCATTTTTCCATCTTAAAAATATATCAAAATTACGTCATTTGCTCTCATTGACGAATGCGGAACAATTAGTTCATGTGTTCATGACATGTCAAGTCATCTTCATTTATATAGTGCTTTTAACAATGGAGATTGTTTCAAAGCAGCTTTACAGAGATAAACATACAATTTACGGTAACAGAGATTGTTTTGGCTTTATAGCGATTTTGAATAGTGTTATGTAAGACTGGAAAACTGGTTATAGGGAACGACCACTTCTTGAGAAGACAAAGAACCCACTGCATAGTAGCATTTGGGCTCACTCTTGTGAAGGCCCCATCCGAGACTAGAGGTCTCACCTCTGAATCATCCTAATCTACATTTCTTCCCCTCATCCCCCACTCCTTCGCAGATCACCTGAAACTCACATAAGAATATATGTATGGTTTGATGTGAATGATTATCATTGAGTACATAAGTTTGGTATCATTTGAAATGTCTCAAGAATGAGTGGTACAAATGTCTCATTCCCAAAGTATAAAACAAAAGGAAATAAGGTTTTTAAGAGTTTAGGAATAACTGGCACACAAAGGAATGTGGTCTCTAGGCACTCCCAAAGGTGTAAATTCATGAATGCTAATTTCCACTGTTCTTCGCAGATGGTCAAACTTCTACCCCCAGGAATGGTGGGGGAATACAGTAAATTTCCACTAAACTCTAGTTTTACATATCAAATAAGATCTGGCTATATAAGGAAAATGCAACGAGAGCTCAGGGCTCTTTCTGTATCTCAGATCAGCCCGTGGATGCTGAGTCGCCGAGACTTTCATGTCGGGTAAAAGATTTTCCTCTTTGTTCTAGAACATTTGATGATTTGCATTGATTATCTTTCAATTGATTATGGAATTGTTATAATACATTTACCTGACATAATAAATTGTTATATTTGATTATTCTAACAGACTTTGACTTTATTTTTATTGGAGTTAAAAGGAATAGTCAAACATTAACGTATACTTAATGATGCACAGATATCATTGAAAAACTTTTTTATTTTATGGAGTCAGATGAAACGAGTTAATACATAAAACAAAATGTATTGCATTTAATTAAAAATCTCCTTGCCATGGGAAAAGACGGAACACGCGTTGAAACCTTCACCTCTAATCGATACCGCCATTGGATCGAATTAGACGGACTTACAGTTATTTCCGGCTAAAGTTGGTTTTGATTGATTCACTTCCAGCAAAATTATCATTTGTTATTACATTAGGGGCCACTAAGACGACGGCGTTCTCTCTAAACAGACTTTAAACGCAAACCTGTGACCGGATGGCGTTCATATGCGCATTAAAAATTGATTCTATTGTTATATTCGTTTGAATAATTTCCCTACAAACCATGCCTAAACAAACTACTTGTCTTGCCTATAAATTTGATACCGAATTTTATTTTATCACTTCGGGGTACGCGAACCAGATTTTCAACAACGCTTTATCTGTAGAGTGGGAAAGGGATCCTCCATAGGGAGAGGATAGTTGACACTTCAGCACTGCATTGTCATCGGGTCCAGGCAAATCTCCTTCGTCAGATCTGGATACGGCCTGGATCCGGCAGGCTGCAGGAAAACCTCGGGATAAACAAAGACACTAAAGTTAGCGTAGATGCCATTCTTCTTATGATGTAACGAGTACATCTGGATTTAAGGGAAGTGCTCCCAGTTCCGGCTGACCTAATCTATGCAGCCTAACATTGAATTATCGAAGTCTATAATGTATTATGTGTATGCTAGGTCAAAGAGATGTGTTTTTAGTCTAGCTTTGAACTGACAGAGTGTGTCTGCTTCCCGGACAATGGTAGGAAGACTGTTCCAAAGTTTTGGTGCTAAATAGGAAAAGGATCTACCGCCAGCAGTCGATTTTGATATTCTAGGTATTATCAACTGGCCGGAATTTTGAGATCGCAATAGACGTGAAGGACTATAATGCTTTAAAAGCTCGCTCAAGTACTGCGGAGCTAAACCATTTAGTGCTTTGTAAGTAATCAACAATATTTTAAAATTTATACGATGTTTAATAGGGAGCCAATGCAGTGTTGACAGAACCGGGCTAATATGGGCATACTTCCTGGTTCTGGTAAGAACTCGAGCTGCTGCGTTTTGAACTAGCTGTAGTTTATTTATTAAGCGTGGAGGGCAACCACCCAGTAGAGCATTACAATAATCTAGCCTTGATGTCATGAACGCATGAACTAATTGTTCTGCATTTGTTAATGAGAGCATATGGCGTAATTTAGATATGTTTTTAAGATGGAAAAATGCGGTTTTACAGATACTAGACACGTGACTTTCAAATGAGAGATTGGTATCAAAGAGCACACCCAGGTTCCTAACCGACGACGAAGACTTAACAGAGCAGCCATCAAGTGTTAGACAGTATTCTAGGTTATTACGTGTGGAAGTTTTTTGTCCAATAATTAGAATCTCAGTTTTTTCAGAATTTAGTAGTAGGAAATTACTAGTCATCCAATTTTTTATATCGGCTATGCATTCCGTTAATTTTGTGAATTGGTAAGTTTCGTCGGGGCGTGAAGAAATATAGAGCTGAGTATCATCAGCATAACAGTGAAAACTAATTCCATGTTCCTTAATGATATCTCCTAAGGGTAGCATGTACAGAGTGAACAGCAACGGTCCTAGTACTGAGCCTTGTGGTATGCCATACTGAACTTGTGATCGAAAAGACATATCTTCATTTATTGCTACAAACTGATAACGGTCAGATAAGTATGCTAGTGGTTTAAATCATACTTATCTGACCGTTATCAGTTAGATCTCATATGGCGACATCAAGGCTAGATTATTGTAATGCTATTATGGGTGGTTGCCCTGCACGCTTAATAAACAAACTACAGCTGGTCCAAAACGCAGCAGCTCGAGTTCTTACCAGAACCAGGAAGTATGACCATATTAGCCCGGTTCTGTCAACACTGCATTGGCTGCCTATTAAACATTGTATACATTTTAAAATATTGCTGACTACTTACAAAGCACTAAACGGTTTAGCTCCCCAGTACTTGAGTGAGCTCTTAACGCATTATAGTCCTTCACATCTATTGCAATCTCAAAATTCAGGCCAGTTTATAGTACCTAGAATATCAAAATTGACTGCAGGCGGTAGATCCTTTTCCTATTTAGCCCTTAGCACCAAAACTTTGGAACAGTCTTCCTAACATTGTCCGGGAACCAGACACACTCTGTCAGTTCAAAGTTTGACTAAAAACACATCTCTTTGGCCTAGCATACACATAACACATTATAGACTTCTATAATTCAATGTTAGGCTGCATAGTTTAGATCAGCCGGAACCGGGAACGCTTTCCATAAATCCTGATGTACTTGTGTTACATCATAAGAAGAATGGCGTCTACGCTAATATTAGTCTCTCTGTTTATCCCGAGGTTTACCGCAGTCCGCCGGATGCAGGCCGTATCCAGATCTGATGAAGGACCAGCTCCTGGACGCGACGACAACGCAGTCCTGAAGTGTCACTAGTCCCTCCCCTGTGAAGGCCTCCTTCCCTTTACCTCTGTACAGATAATCGTTGTCGGGATAATTCCGGTTCGCGTGGCTACGCCGAAGCGATAAAATTCTGTATTATAAATTTTAAGGCAAGACATGTAGTTTGTTGAGGGTTGGTTGGTTAGGGAAGGACTACACGCCTGCGTACATATATTCAAACACGCATACCTATAGAATGAGCTCTTCATACGCATGTGCACGCCATCAGCGTTCTCACAGGTTCGCGTTTTTAAAGTTTGCGTAGAGAGAACTTAAGAGTTTTCTGTTAAAACAGCGTTGTGTTAGCGGCCCCTAAGTTAATAACTAATGATCGTTGCGACGGAAGTGAATCAATTAAAACTAACTTTAGCTGGAAAATAACTTTATTCTAGAGCTGTCATAAAGCCAAAACTATCTCTGTTGCTTTAGTTTCCTTTTATCACTGTAAAGCAGCTTTGGAACAATCTACATTGTTAAAAGCGCTATATAAATGAAGATGACTTGACTTGACATGTGTGAAAGAAAATGTGATCATTGAGAAAAGCATGTGTAGGTCATTTTAGTTCACTTCAAATCTATAATACACTCAGAAATGTATAATCATTGATTATTGTTCATTAATTATTAAAGCAACACCAAGTAACTTTTCCTCTGCGGTCGCCCTACAGGTTGGAAGCGGAATTGTCCATTACCGCTGTCGTAAATAATTTAGCCTACCGCAGCCTACTGTCGCACGCACGCACACTGTTTATCCAGCACCTGGCTTTGGAATGAACGATGTCCACAGACAAAGTAGAGTATGTTGCATGATTTCATGAAAGTATGATGTATTGCGACATCAGAAACAAAGAAAAACTAAATAATGACTATTGTAACGCTTGACGTAAAGCAAGTCAAATTTGTAGTTTTCTTATGTCTCATTAGAACTACAGAAACGCGACCCGATCTGGCAATCTTACGTAGCGTGGTTATAGCAGATATAGGGCTGCAAAGCAAATCCAGAAGTGCCTTTCACCCTGTTACGACTTAATTAACCACTGAAACGATTTTGGAAACATTATTTTAAGGTAAAAAATCGTACTTAGTGTTGCTTTAAAGGGGTCATGACATGGATTTTGTATTTTTTATGTGTTCCTTCAGATTAATTTATAATGTTAATAAAGTTTTTTGCACAAAAAAACCCAAATATTAATGCGGAGAAAATAATTTTTTTACCTTCACCCTGTCAGAAACAATCTGTTTTTAAGGGGCGGCTCCTTTAAGGGTTGTCAGTAAACTCCACTGTTATGATTGGCTAACATCACTGCATAGGAAACAGTATCACCGCAATCTAGCTATTGCGAGACGTGATCCAGGACACCATTAAACTAAACCATCCACTTGTTTCCAATGCTAGGATCCTTCTGAAGTCTGTACAGAGACGCAAACGAACTGTTTAAACTGCATCGAAGTGAAGGTTCTTTCACTCTTCATTTGTCCTGTTGTCGACAGACTCGAGTGTGTGGATATCAGAAACTGAACACACATCTGTAAACTGTACCCAGTGTAGACAGCGTCACTGATTATAATGGCTTCTGTTTGCTTTAGACGTGACGCTCATATTTAGTGTAGGCCAAATGTCAGCCGTTAAGAGACTAAACGCCAGTGGGCGGAGCCTATGGTGCGATGATGTATGAGTATCCGTCTATGTCTAACTCTGGAGGCAGTTGTATGCAAATTTATTTATTTATTTACATGCTTTATTTATGAGGAGGACTTTTTAAGCTATGAAACCTTTAGGATGTTTTAATGGTACAAAGAGCTCTTATTTGTCAAAACATCAAGGCAAATATGATGTCCTTTTAAATACTGATTATACTACTAGTGCAATTCAAACGCCGACTCTAGTGTTTTCATTTTTATTGCCAATATTTTTTAAAACAAAGCACATTGATATATATATATATATATTACATGTTGTACATAAAAAAACCTAAATATAAAATAAAAATTTGAGGTATTAACACATTTGTTTTTTTAAATCTGTAAGACAAAAGCAAGAGTGTTGTTGTTTCAAGTTGTTGTGCCATAGGTCATCACATAGTCCTGATATTTTGACAGCTCAATTGTGAGTGAAATCTTTTAAATATCAGTTCAGTAAAAAAGTTAATATGAAGCAATGTGCATTTAAGACACAATATTGCTAGTTGCTTGGTCTATTTTTGATCTGCAAACAAATTTGTTCCTAAAAAACAACTGTTGCATGCCTCTAAACAAGATTTTGTGATAGTTTATCACTGAATTAATCACAGTTTTTGACCAAATTGGTTGAGTTGAATGATTCAGTGATCCTCTCCTAATACAAAAAAAGACATTTGCTTGTTGTTACCCACTGGGGTAACAAATATAACCTGCAGAAAGGGTCACTGAAAAATCCAAATCTAATGGATATTAGATAAAAGTATAGCTCTCACTACACATGTGATTAAGTGCATATGTGTCACCTTTGCCAATGAGGACTCCGATCTTAGAGTCTAGTAGGCGTTCTGCACGTCCACAGTTGCGTGTGATCAGTTTGAGGACAGGCAGGAACGGTCGCACGTCGCATAGTCGCCTGGTCTCGTCCTCCAGCTCCTCGTGAACTGCTGCCTGGTTCACACACTCGAACATGTGACCCTCCATCTCCCCCAGCAATGAGAAGAGAGGGTATGTCTGCGCCTCCTTCCATAACAGCTACACAAACACAAAAACAGGATGATGAGAGTGAATGATACAATCAAAACTGCATGTTAAATAAAATTTATAGGCTATGATACACCAGGGCTCTTCAACTTTAGTGCTGGACGGCTGGTGTCTTGCAGACTTTACAGTTCCAACTCTAATTAAACACACCCGTCTCTGATTTGCAAGTAATTCTGAACCCCATCGCTGCATCCGAAATCTCTGTCTGAGTAGGTACTACATTTGAGTTTACTTCGCAACGGTTAAAAAAGTACTTTCTATATAGCATGAATGTGTGTAGTATAGGGTTGGTTATCGTTTGAATACGAATTCATTTCTGCTTATCGATTCCGATTCTTATTCGATTCCTAATTTCGATTCCAATAAGCTAAAAAAAAAGAAGAAGAAAACTTAAATATCGTTCACATTTAGTCTTATTGCAAAACATTTAATTGTAGCTGAATATAATGAGCAAAAGTCAACAGGCTAAAGAACACTAACACAAGGAGCGTTTGCCTGTGGTTCAAAAATACCATAGAAAAACAACTAGCCTAACTAATATAAATGTCAAGCATTATTAAAGACAAGTAAACACTCTGTAATTAAAAAAGAACAAATAAAAAATTTGCAATCACAACAAAAGAAACAACTGAACAAATATACGATTGAAATAAACAGTGTTTTAAGATTTTCAGGTACAAAAACTAATCAAATGTAAATAACACTGCACTTTATAAATAAAATATACATTACAAATATATATTTTTTGTATTTTTAATGTTGTGTGTATAATAGCCTACATATTTTAAATTGTATCATATATTGCTGCCATGATAATGGCCCATTTCAAATGTTTACGTGTTTTTTTCTCTTTCTCCTTTTTGTTCGCTGAGGTGGAACGGGGATTAAATAAAAGTGTACATCTTTAAAATGCATGCAAATTACAGTGAAAGCGCAACAGTTATCACCCGTACGGTGCTCTGCAGTGATCGAAAGGATTTAAACAATGATCTCTTCTTGTAAACTCAGAGATGTGGATTCGGACGGCAATTCAATCACCACACGACCTTGGTGTTCGTCAAAAAACAGTAGGTAATTCGGCCAGGGATTTTTACGTGGGTGGTGGGAGAAAAACACTGACATTCTGGATTTGGATGGCAATAAAATCACAGACTAACCCCTTTAAATGTTGAAAATGCCTTACGACCAAAAACAATTACCATCCGAATAGGGCTTTAGAGGAACTTTGTCTGAACTAAGCAGGACACTGGCCTCTCAGGACTGAAGCTGAAGTGCTCTGCTATAAACTATCTGAAGTGCCCTTGCATTCTTTCCTGGTAATAGTTAAACTAGAATCTAAAAGGTAAAAATGACATTTTCAGAAGGGAAAACTCCACCAGAATGCTTGATTGTTTTGGGTGGTTGCCAGGGGCTGCTTTGTGTTTGCTAAAATATCTTTAATAGTTATTTGAATCCAAGTCTTCGTCCAGACTCTGAAAGAGAGAATCTGCTTGTAAAAGAAACATACGCACCAGTTTGATGTGTTGGATGGTGCTCTCCCGAGGAACCTCCATCTGGATGTAGATTCCAGTGGGCAACAGGAAGTCCACCATCACCTGGACGTCTCCATCCAGCCCTGACTCCGCCCACAAGTCCAGCTGATCTGTCTTGGCGGGAGGCATGGCAGAGAGCGCGCTGGAGCCAAACCATGGGAACCTCGACAAAAATCAAAACAAGCAAAGGTTAGCTGTAAAATAAAACACAGGGGTGAAGTAAAAAGATGAAAGTAAAAGGCTTTTTCCATTGAAATAAGTGCGTAAAGAAATGTGTGCACTGTCGGGTCTCATGTTTCTGTGTGGTAGGGAGAAGCAGGGGGGTCGTAATCTGGCGGGAGTCCGATTTTGGCACCGCACTGGCATGTTATTTAAAGGCCCACTGAAGTGCCTTGGAACGCGCAGTTTTGTTTGATGCGTTGACGTAATTTCCACTGAAACAGGAAGCTAAGGCGGGACATATTGAATGGCTCCGCCCCTTTTTCAAATAGCCAATAGTGTTTAGTTTACCTCACAGACTGCAAGTCGTACTTGACAGCCCCATGGAAGCGAATCCGAGCGCTGATGATACGCTGGATGCAATAGTAGAGCTGTGAATACATTCTAGCCATTTCATTCTTAACAAGGGGTGTATCGATACCCTCATGTCACGATTCGATACATATCACGATACTGAACTCACGATACGATATTATTGCGATACTCCAAAACAAATGATAAAAGGTTAACAAAAAATGTACTGTTGATTAAAATGCAAACTTTGATATTACATTGTGGGTTTAAATGAATAGATTTGGACTTGGTGCTTGTAACCCAAGGAGAATGATGACACCAGAATAAAAATATTCATGATTCTGAAGCTGAAAATACATAATTATTTTAGACGAATATGCTTGCACTCTGTCACTGACTAGATATATTTAAAATAATGTTGGCCACTTTTTACTGGTAACATCAGACATTTGGCATTATCAGGACCCACAGATATTCCCCCATTGCATTATTATACATTAAACTACTATACATAATGTTAATTATAATGTAGTACTGACACTAAAACTCTGAAAAAATGTTATTTTTTTCTCACACAGTAATTTTTATTTTGGGGGAACTATCCACGATACATATTGTCACTATCCACGATACGTATTGTTGCATTTTTGTATTGCGATATATTGTGGCACGATATATTGTTACACCCCTATTCTTAACCAACGTACAGTTGGAAAACAGAATAAAACTTGAGCGTTTGAGCAACCGAAGTCTTAATATAAAGTACATTTTGAAGCTTTCAAAAGTAATGGGAGAATATTAGATTCATTTGTGTTTGAAGATGAATGTATGGGTTTAGAATTACAGTAAATTATGACAGAATTTTCATTTTTGGATGAACTATATCTTGAAAATGAAAAACAAAAACAAAACTACATTGTTCTATAGCCTCAATTCAAAAATACCCCCCTTGTGTGTCTAAAAACACTTGCTATTTTCAGCCAGTAATTTCCCTGAAGGTCACAACAATGAGTCAGTGAACCACATGATGCTGTTCTCACCTTACAAACAAACTCAAAACCTCATAAGCAGGACTTCATCAAACACACACCAGACAGGTGCGGAAACTCAGTCACACAACGCCAATCGATGAGACAACGGTATCGGAGGACGGGGATGTGGTTCACGGCTCGCTTCCACACACACACTCACACACACACACGTGAGAAACGGCAAGCTATACAAAGACATACCCACATTAGGGGACAGAGGATGTGGTATTTCAAACTGTGAACACAGATTTTCACATACAAGCACACTATTGTTTATTTAGATATACGCAAACCCAAAGCAACAAGAGGTAATTGCTGTGTCAATGCTGTGTAAGTGCACTTTGTCTGCTTTTAGAGGGGCCACAGTTCACCACATCCATTACAGCTCGCATCAAGAGCTCCTAATAACTCTATGCTTCAGAAAGCCGGACCACAGCTCAATATCACTGACGTCTCAGACCTCTGACGTCTCCCTGCTGACGCCACCCTTTCTTAAGAGCCACTGTGCTCTGAGGTTTTAACCATTCACGTTAGCTTTTCCTTTAAGAGAGCGCTTTATGAACTAGTGCTTTGTTGGACCGTTATCAAGTTCACATAAAGCTTTCTAGCACGCTCAAATAGCCAGAGATCAAGCAGGAGAACAGGAGGACTAAACGTGTGTTTTTCTCTGTGAAGACGCTTGAATACAGCAGGAATCAGCATCAAAGACTGGTTGGTCACATGACAAAATATAAATGAAATAATGGGAATGAAAAATTATAATTGAAATAATAAATAAATACATAAGACTGTCCCATTAATTTGAACTACACCTATGGGTTGAGTTTAGTATCAATGTAAAATAATAATACTTGTAGGCCATTTCCACATACAGGCCTAAAAAAATGAATATTTTGTGATATTTGATTATCATTTAGGTCAACCATAGTATTTTAGTCAATAAAAACTAAGATAGCTTACATATTTCATATTTAATTCGAGAGCTTACATAAAACAGAGCTCCTGAGAAACAGTTAAATGGCAGAATCGCTATTCGCTGACTCAGATAACATAAAATTGTTTAAAAAAAACTTGAATGTGAAAAGGAGCTTTGCGTAAATGCAGACTGCAGATAAATGTATCTTAACTTTAACCAGTTCAGTCCGATTTATGAGCAAACAACCCCTCAGAGACGTTTTAAAAACACTTATCATAAGTTACCAGACAACAACAGTTTGATCCAACAAATCTGCATGTCTCAGAGAATCAATCATATTTCAACATAGCCATTAGGCTGCCGTTTTGACATTTAATGGTTATCATAATTTTATTATGATATTATTATCTTGTTTATATTGTTAGTGAGCTGTGTGCCATAAATCTTTTGGTATTGCAATTAAACTTATATTTCAGTCAAACTATGACAAGGGAAATAAAAACTGCACTCTACTAAAAGATAACAAATGTGTGTGTGTGTGTGTGTGTGTGTGTGCGTGTGTTCAGCCACTCACTGAACAGGGTAGACGCAGAGAGAGGCGTGACGGCAGGGGGAAAGCAAGACACTAGCAGGACAGTACTTCTAAAGGGGTCTGAAGAGTTGCTAAATCGAGCGACAAAGTTGCTAAGTTGGCAACACTGGTGCCGACTGGTCCTGGAAGTACCGATACGTTTGACAACCCTAACAGAGAGAACACAAAGTATTAAAGTACAGACTCTGTGAACACCAACTTAGACAAAGGAAGACGTAAAAGCACACGGTTGCGGAGAGAGGACAGGATTTGCAGTCACTGCACATCAGGGCAGGTTGAAACACTTTCTTCTTCACTGCTCAAAACACTCATTTAAAAAAAAAAAACACTTTACAGAAAAAAAATATCCCTGAGTTCCTTTAATTGAATGAAAGAGAAATTTTGAATCTTTTTGAAGGAGCCACATCCTCGTGGTTTACACAACTGCCACAAACTAAGAGATATTAAGTAGACACGTGTATTAAGGATGGCCACGAGTACCCGAGTACTCGGACATGACTGATGAAAACACTGAACGTGTGTGTTTAAAATGGTCTTTTTTCGGACCGGTTATGCTGGCGTTTATGGCGGCATCTTCAGGTCTGATTAGTTAGCTTTGCGAGAGCATGTGGTCCAGAGTCCAGACCGGAGAACTGAGAGAAACAGTTTCTGCGCGTCTCTAATACGAGAGCATTTATAATACCCAATACACTAATACTGGGTATTTCCCATTTTCCCATTATTTTCCTGTTATCACTGTAAAGCTGCCTTGAAACAATCTGTATTGTGTAAAGTGCTGTATAAATAAGGTGACTTGACTTGACTAGTGATAGTCTTTGACAGGCTGCCTTTCAGTGAAGCTACAGAGCATCTTTTCTTGCAGTGACTGTTTTGCGTGATGGGACGTTATACTGGGTCTCTCTAAAACCTTGTCCTTCCACAAAATTAATAGGCAGAAAGTTTTTCGCTATCATTTCAGTGATTTTCAGCCGTGTCGTTTTCTCAGCTCTGCTTGCCTGGCATTTCTGTGTGATGGTAAAGCGTTAAATTCGTCTGACTTGCTCTATTCCCTAGGATAGACTCGGCTCTCACTTGACAGACTCATCCATCTTTCTGAATAAAATATTATTTAGGCCATATGTTTAAGTTTTATCAGTCATAGTTTAAAATGTTTTTGTTTTGAGTTTTAGCAGCCATGTAGTTAAATCATCTCTGCTCTTTTTTTGTTTACCTTTAAAGATTTGGTCGAACCTTTACAACCTTTAAGGAAAAAGACGTGGCTATTTGTTTTGTTTCAAATGCACCGTTAAAAAATTGATACCGCTAAATATTAAAGACAATGTTTAATTGAAAATTACAGTTGAGTAAAGTAGCCGGAAAGCAGATATCCTGTGTGTTTCATTGTTTTTTTAAATAACATTTTATAATCAAAACACGAGACATGGAATAATATCATGTAACATATATAATAAAACGGCATTGCCTCTAATTGTGCTTATAATAACAAACACAGAATTAAAGCTTTGGATTACAGAAAAAAAGTTTTTGGAAAGACTAAATTAAACTGTCATTTTATCCTTTATCTTTTTTCCTTACCCTGAAGGAAAACACCCTTAAAATGTCTTAAATATTGATTAATCATCCATCAATAATGTGTTCTTCAGTAATTTAAGTTAGTCTACTCTGACTAAAATGGTTTCAATTTATTCAATATAAAATAACATTTCAGTCGAGTTAATCCAAAAGATTTCTCTAAAAATAAAAAAAATAAAAAAACCGGGTTACACTTTATTTTAAAGTGTTATTGTTACAGTGTAATTATATATTTAAGTACCGAGTAATAATAATTAACTACATGTACTTTAGGGTTAGGGTAGGATTATGAATTTGGTTGAGGGTTAGTTGCATGTAATTATGCATAATTTACTGTTATTGCTATGGTAGGTACATGTAACAAGTACACTAAAAAAGTGTTAAAAAAAACATTATTACTATTGTAATCGAATGTTGTGAATTCTTTGATTTTTAGTTGCCTGTGTTTTAAAGAGTGTGGTCATGGGACAGTCTATTAATCTGCTTTTGGTAGAGATGAGGGACATTAAACAAAGGGAACCGTAAAGAGCGTAAGGCTA